TATTTATTTGAAAGAGTTACACAGAGAGGAGAGGCAGAGAGAGGTCTTCCATCCGCTGGTTCACTCCCCAATTGGTTGCACTCACTGGAGCTGCACTAATACCATGCCAGGAGCCAGGAGCTTCTTCCTGGTCTCCCACGCAGGTTCAGGGGCCCAGGGACTTGGGCCATCTTCTACTGCTTTTCCAGGCCATAGCAGAGAGCTGGATTGGTAAAGGAGCAGCTGGGATTCGAACTGGCGCCCGTATGGGAGCAGCCAGGTCTGGAGCCAGGCTAAAGCCAAGAGCTAGGAACTCCATCGTGGTCTCCCACATGGGTGGCAGAGGCCATCATCTTCTGCCTTCCCAGGAGCATTAGCAGTAGGAGCAGCCAGGACTAGAACCAGTGCTTGAACACAATGCTGGCCTCATAAGTCTCTTTTTAGTCTAAATGTTCCCTCTCCATCTCTTTTTCCTTTGCAGTATTTGTGAGTGATGTTTGTTTTGTTTTTAAAGATTTATGTATTCGAAAGGGAGAGTTAAAAAGAAGGAAGGAAAGATGGAGAGAGAGAGCTTCCATCCACTGGTTCCATTCCCCAAATGGCCACAATGGCCAGGTCTGGGCCAGGCTGAAGTCAGGAGCTTCTTCCAGGTCTCCCAAGTGGGTGCAGGGTTCTAAGCACTTGGGCCATGTTTCACTGCTTTCCCAGGGACATTAGCAAGGAGCTGGATGGTAAGTAGAGAGTACAAATGGGGCCCATGTGGGATGCTGGTGCTGCAGGCGGCTCCTGTTGGAGATGTTTGTAAGCTAGTTGTTGGTTTTATTTCTTCAGCTGTTCATTCAAATGTGTATTGTCACTCAATGTTTTTCCCTTTTTTTTTTTTTAAAGATTTAGTTATTTATTTTAAAAACAGTTATAGAGAGGCAGAAGCAGAGAGAGAGAATGTCTTTGATCCACTGATTTATTCCCCAAGTGGCCACAATAGCCAGAGATGGGCCAATCTGAAGCCAGGAGCCAGGAGCTTCTTCCAGGTCTCCCATGTGTGCACAGGGGCCCAAGCACTTGATCTTCTGCTGCTTTCCCAGGCCGTAGCAGAGAGCTGGATTGGAAGTGGAGCAGCTGGGACTTGAACCAGCGCCCATTTGAGATGCTGGCACTGCAGGTGGTGGCTTTACCTGCTGTGCCACAGCACCGGCCCCTCAACCTTTTTTCAAAGTGATTAGTATAAACTTTTTTGAAGAGATATCATTTATATACAGTTAAATGCACAAATCTTAAGTGATTGATGAATTTTCACAATTGTATATATATCAATGTGTCCATCACCCATTGTATTTTTTCAGTTGTGAAAAATTTTTTAATGGAATAGAAGGAGAAATTTTCTGATCTGAAGATCCTAAAGCTTAGAATAACTACAGTAGTAAGAAGATAAGAATTATTGCCATTAGAAATTCAAGTTATTACTATTAAGTTTGTGCATTTCAAGCAGCCAGATGGGTGAATTAAGGAAATTTGGATTTTGCAGGCCGGCATTGTGGCATAGCAAGTAAAGCCTTTGCCTGTGGCTCCGGCATCCCTTATGGGCTCTGGCTTGAGTCCTGATTTCTCCACTTCAAATACAGCTCTCTGCTAATGTGCTTGGGAAAGAAGCGTGAGATGGCCTAAGTACTTGGGCCCATGTGCCCACATGGGAGACCTGGAAGAAGACCCTGGCTTCCAACCAGTTCAGCTCTGGCAGTTACTGGTGGCTGCTGCCATTTGGGAAGTAAGCTAGTTGGTGGGAGATTGGTCTCTGTCTTTCCCTCTTTCTGTAACTCTGCCTTTCAAATAAATAAATCTTAGAAAAAATAAAAAAGAAAATTTGGGTTTTAGAAATACTCCTTGTTAAGCAGAGGGATATGTGTGACTTGTTAAGAGCTAAAGGTGAGAAGTGTAAGTGCACTGTGGCTACGTGGTTGCCTTTACTTTGCATACATTAGACATTTAGTCTAAATGTTCCCTCTCCATCTCTTTTTCCCTTGCGGTATTTGATAGTGATATTTGTTTTGTTTTTAAAGATTTATGTACCGCCGGCGCCGCGGCTCACTAGGCTAATCCTCCGCCTTGCGGCACCGGCACACCGGGTTCTAGTCCCGGTCGGGGCACCGGATTCAGTCCCGGTTGCCCCTCTTCCAGGCCAGCTCTCTGCTGTGGAGGATGGCCCAAGTCCTGGGAGACCAGGATAAGTACCTGGCTCCTGCCATCGGATCAGTGCGGTGCGCGGGCCGCAGCGCGCCGGCTGCGGCGGCCATTGGAGGGTGAACCAACAGGAAAGGAAGACCTTTCTCTCTGTCTCTCTCTATCCACTCTGCCTGTCCAAAAAAAAAAAAATTTATATACCAATCAATACCTTCCACCTCTGCCTCAATTTCAAGTGGCTGAAATCAATGGTGACGTGATTTTTGAGACCAGTAAAGTGTTAACTGCGTCTGAGGCATATAAATATCTTGAGTATGTTATTTGGTTCTTTAATCTTTGTTTTGTCCATGAATTGAATGTGTTGTTGTATTTAGCTTTAAGGGTATTTTATTGATTGGCTGTGTTTTCTTAAGGTAGTGCATTGATCATAGTTTGATACTGGAGGAGGGGAAAATGGCATTGCTGGTATCTGGGCAACTCTGTGTGAGCAGTCCTTTTAATTATAGCCCATTGGTAACAGCCATTCTGCCGATCACATAGATGAGAAAACAGAGGTCAGGGGTTGGTGCTGTGGCATAGTGGGTTAAGCCACCACCTACAATACTGCATCCCATGTGGGTATCAGTTCCTGTCCTGGCTGCTCCGCTTCCCAACTAGCACCCTGCTAATACCTCTGGGAAAGCATCAGAAGATGGCCCGAGTGTATTGGCCCCTGCACCCACGTGGGAGCCCCCGAAGAAGTTTCTAGCTTCTGTCTTTGGCCTGGCCCAGCCCCGGCTATTGCTGCCGATTGGCAGATGGAAAATCTCTCTCTCTCTCCCTCCCTCTCTCTCTCTCTATGACTCTGCCTTTCAAATAAATAAATCTTCAAACAAACATAAACAACAAAAAGCAAGCAAACTAAAAAAACCAGAGTTCCAGTGTTTTGCTCAAGGCCATACATCTGATACCTACCAATAATAAGAATTTAAGCCCTGAACTTTTACTCTAAAACTATTAAAATTCTTTTTTTTTCCACTAAAACATGCCACTTTCATGAATATTAGAAATCTAAGTAATAGTAATTCTGCCTTTTTGCAATTCCTGCTTCACAGATGTAAAGACCTTTGATTTCATACCTGAAGAAATAATAGTATTTAAAACATAACATTGTATCAGATCCAATTAGGATAAAATTTTCTGCATGAGCATGCAAATCTCAAGTTGTTTCAAGAAAAAGTTTTGTGTTACAAAGTTAATAAAGGAAAATAATTTGTCTAATGTCTATGTTATGCAACATGAGGTCAGCATTAAGTTTTTATTAAAGGCAATTAATAGGAAAATAGTTTTTAATTCATTCCAGGACATACGACTTTCTTGTAACTTGTAGTTACATAAATTTCTATTTCTAGTTCTTCATTGAATTATAATTTGATTTTTAAGTGTAAAACTTCCATTTTCATTTTATTGAAAATAGGTTCATTTAAAAGTTTTTTCTAAAAGTATCTTAATGTAAACTTTTTTATAGAGCTATCTTTTAAAAATTGTGTGCCTATATTCAGATCTGTATATGGTTCAGATTCAGTTTATTATTAAGAAAAGGACTTTGGCTTCTGTTCCAGCTCCTTTCTTTACAGTTCTTGAGACTATTTTGCCATCATAATTAGTTTTTATCACTGAATTTTACTTTTCCTTTGGATGTTCTATTTTATAAAAAGCATTTTGGATTTTTAAAGTTTTATTTTAAATACTTTAATCTAATTGTTACATTTACCAAGTTTCTTACCAGGATTTTGTCTCTACCTAAGATCCTGCTCCCCTCCAAAATACCCATTCTAGAGTGTGTGAGAAAACCAGCCTCCTTTCAGGCTTGTTATAGTGGTTTTTTTTTGTTTTGTTTTGTTTTGTTTTGTTTTTAATGTAGTTATCTTTTTCTGAGTTTCATTGAGCTTTTATGTTCTCAGCAGAAATCTATCAGAAGAAAGATGATGACTTTATCTAATAGAAGTACAAAATGCTTCTCAAAATACTTTTTTTTTTTTTTTATGTAAAGTTGGTTGGGTAAGACATGGAGCAACTAGTTCAACTCATTCCTTCTGTACTTATTTTGAACTTCAAAGTTCCTAGTTTTAAACTCTGGTTCAGTCCCATCTTGCTAGATTTAAGTGGCTTTTGTTTTGTTTTGTTTTTTTTCATGCAGGTTCTGCTCATTAATCACCACGAGTGTGGATCTGAAGAAGAGTTTATTACCTCTCTTTTTTTGAGTATGTTTAACTTCAGATACACACAACGTAGCCTCTCCTTCCCTATTAGATTCTTAGAAGGTAGTTATATTTTTTATAGTCTCCTTCTTGTGGCTTTGATAGTTGTGATCAATAAAAATAAAAACTGTTCCTTTCATACTGGGCTACTGCATGCAAATCAGTTCATGTAAAACCTCCTGGAGGTCTTTGGCATGCCAGACATAGAACTATGAGTGTGTGTTTGTGGAGGTAACCATGTTCCAAAGAACTTTAAGAGTTTAATTTTTATATCAGGAATCTGAGATAGGCTCTGGCAATCACTGACTTTAAGGGGCTTGCTTTTGATGTGTGATTTTCAAAATTAATTTAAGATGGGAAGTAACAAATTAGAAATATTTTTGTGGCATTATATACATATATATATATATACATATATCTGAGTAGTGGAAATTAGCTTGCTTTGTACCTTTTGTATGCTAACAAAATAGCTGATTTATCATGCCTTATTGAGTATATATTTTTCCATGTTTGCCATTTTTTAGACAAAATGACGTACTTTTCCCCTTGTACATGGGTATGATGAATAAAATATACATATAATTTATCCCTTTTTACATCTAGGGCTGGAAAAAAGAAAGGATTCTGGCTGAGTACCCTGATGGCAGGATAATAATGGTTCTTCCTGAAGACCCAAAGTATGCCTTGAAAAAGGTAAATTCCCAGTGAAACTTTATATAAAAGTATTCCATTTTACAGCCAATTATAAGAAGAAAACACATAGCTGGCAAAGCACATTTCAACACCAATCCTGAAAACAGGAAATTGGCATTTAAAGAATACAGCTCAATTGAAAAATTACGTTAGATTTTGTAGTGTATTCAGAATTTGTGAAATGAATTTTGATGAATTGGTTATGACCCAGTATTATCACTAATTTGATGAAACTGTTCAGTTAATGAATGATGTCACATGTGATTTCAAGAATCAGAATGTCAGTTAAAGTTGAATTGTAGGGTTGGTGTAGTCGGTTAGCCACTGCTTGTGATGCCAGCATCCCATGTTGGAATGCTGGTTTGATTCCCAGTTGCTCTGTTTTTGATCCAGCTTCCCGCTAATGCTCCTGAGAAGGCTGCAGAAGATGACCCAAGTCCTTGGGCCCCTGTCACCCATGTGGGAGACCAGGATGGAATTCCTGGTTCCTGGCTTTAGACTGTCCCAGACCTGACTGTGGTGGCCATTTAGGGAGTGAACCAGTAACTGGAAGAAAGATCTTGCTCTCTTTCTCTGTTTCCATCTCTTCCTCTCTTTGTTGCTCTGCCTTTCAAATACTTTTTTGATTTATAATAATTTAGAAAATTAAAATTAATAAAATAAGTTTCATTCTGAGAGTGAATTTCTGAATAAAAGTTTATTACAGGGACTGGCTTGCAGTGCCTGCATCCCCATATGGGTGTTGGTTTAGGATCAAGCTTCCTGCCAATGCACCTAGGAAAGCAGTGGAGGATGGCCCAAGTGCTTGGGCCCCTTGCATTCACGTGGGGTACCTGGAGGAAACTCCTGGTCCCTGGCTTCAGTCCACCCCACTTCTGGCTGTTACAGCCATTTAGGGAGTGGACCAGTGATTGGGAGATTTCGCTATGTGTGTGTGTTTGTGTATGTGTATGTCTCTAACTCTGTCTTCCAAATAAATAAAATTATTACAGAAGGGGATTTAGCATTAAGTCATCATAAAACAAATTAAACGTGAGGTAATCATGTAGTGTTTTAGAGAAGGAAAAAAGTATGAAAAAAGTATATCCTGATTTATCAATGTAATGTAGAAAATGTAAAGAAAATTCCTTTACCTGCTGTCAGCCAGGTGTTAGTCCAGTTTAGAGTTCCATATCATAAGGGTTCAGAGAATTTGATGTGTTGAGAAATGAACCAGAGAGATAACAAAGCTTGCAACCATTTTGTCACAGAGTATCTTCAAAGTCAGGAACATTGAGTAAATTTACTTTTAAGTAATATGTCAACTACATTTTTAAGTAATATCCTTGGTATGTTTCCCTTCATTCTCTAGATCATTTTATCAGAAGTTCCTTTTTTAATTTAAGCTTTATATTTTATTTATTTGAAAGGCAGAGTTAGAGACAGAGGAGGAGAGACAGAGGTAGAGTACAAAGTGTACAATCATCCATCCCTTCCCAAGTGACTGAAACAGGCAGGGCTGGGCCAGGCCAAAACCAGGAGCCTAGAGCTTCTTCCAGGTCTCCTTCATGGCTGCAGGAGCCCAAGTACTTGGGCCATCTTGTGCTGTTTTCCCAGGTGCATTTGCAGGGAGCTGCATCAGAAGCGGAGCATCCGTGAACTGGCGCCCATATAGGATGCCAGCATTGCAAGTGGAGGCTTAATCTACTACACCACAATGCAAGCCCAAAGAAATTCTTCTTATATAAGCACCAGGTCCAGTTGTTACCTTTGAAACTCAAATAATTACACTAACTATGTCCAAAATGTCTGGAAGCACAATGAAATGTTTATTATACTTTTTTTCTTTTTTAGATTAATAGTTGACCTCTTTACATTTAGGAATACTTCACCTTAATGGGCTGATGGGAGACATTTTGTACATATTATTTGAAAATGTAGCTGAACATTACATTTAACATAGACATTTTTCCTGTGTTTCCTGACTTTACGCCCCGTGTATGCCTGGACAATCCCAGATACCCAAACAAGTCTTCATATTGCCAGTGCCTAATAGTGTAGACTGTGGCATTTAGAATGCCACATAAACATACCCAAACTTTCTTGTATTTGAAACATTTATCATTGCATACAAATACTTGTTGAACCAACGACTGACTAAATGAGAAATTATAGAATTTTTGGAATTTAATTATTTGAAATTTGGAGTTATAGAGAGGTAGCGATCTGGGACAGGGTGGGGTAGGGACCTTCCATCCACTGGATGGCCGCAAGGGCCAGGGCTAGGTTAGGCTGAAGTCTTTCCATCCAGTCTTCCACTTACGTGATACAGGCCCAAATACGTGGGCCATCTTCCGCTGCTTTTCCCAGGCCATTAGCAGGGAGTTGGATCAGAAGTGGAGCAGCCAGGACAAGAACTGGCGCTCATAAAAGATACTAGTGCTGCTAGCAGTGGCTTTACCTGCTTCACTAAGAATCTTTAGTAAATGCTGATATCCTCATTTTAGTTTCTCAAGGCCAAATCTTTATAAGCTGCAGTTTAAGTTTATTGCTAGTTAGTAACCCATAATAGGTTAAAAATTAAAAGCTAGGGAATTGTGAGCAAGTTGTGTTTAGGAACCAAATCAGGAGTTGTAGGATGTTATTAAGGATTAAGGGAATTTGAATCTTCTTCAGTGAATAAAGGATGTGTTGCATGACATTCTGCATGTCAGAGGTATGAGTACTTAACATTCTTAGGGGTTATTTGCATTTTAAGCTTAGTAGCTCAAACAATCTTTATTGGACTGAATATTTGTAGGATTCTTTAGCTGGAGAAGGAATTAATGTTTGAGTGCCTACAAAAGTTTGAACTTAACCATGTTTGAAGCCATATATGGAAGAAGCCATATAAGTATTAACATTTAGAGTTCAAATCTCTGCTTCTTGATTTCTGGATGCTAATATTTGACATGGAAAATTGTCTTAACTGCTGTTTTATTTCTTTCACATGTAAATTGAGGAACCATAAACCTCCAAGAGATGTTGGATTTAAATGAGATAATATTCATCAAGTGCCTTGTAGAATGTCTGGCCCACGTAACAGTGATAGAACGTCAACATGAGTTTCTTTCCTTTAAGTGCTCTTCATTTTAGCAATGAGGATGCTAATTTAGATTTAGGAAGATGGCTGTGGCGTTGTGGGGCTGCAGGTGAAGCCACTGTTAGAGATGCTGGCATCCCATATTGGAGTGCTGGTTTGAGTTCCAGTGGCTCTGCTTCCCACCCAGTTCCGTGCTTTTGGGCCCAAGAAAGCAGCAGGGGGTGGCCCAAGTACTTGGAGCCCTGCCGCCCATGTTGGGAGTCACAGATGGAGTTTTAGGCTCCTGGGTTTGTCCTGGCCTAGCTCCAGAATTTGGGTAGTAAACTAGCAGTTGGAATCTCTGTCACTCTGCTTTTCAAATGAATATACCCTTTTTTTGTTATGTCTTTTCTCTGTGTTACTCTACCTTTCATATATGTAAATAAATTAATTTTTAAAAAAAAAACCAGCTGTTGATCCCTATAGTCATCCAAAATAACTGTTTAGAGAATGTCCTTGCTTAGAATAATGTACTCAACTTACTGAATGGAAGTAGTATATTGTTATGTCTATACAGTGCTTTCAGTGTTTTAAAAGTTACTGTTCTTTATTTGGCAGGTTGACGAGATTAGAGAGATGGTTGATAATGATTTAGGTTTCCAGCAGGCACCGTTAATGTGCTATTCCAGAACTAAAACACTTCTCTTCATTTCAAATGACAAAAAAGTAGTTGGCTGCCTAATTGCAGAACATATTCAGTGGGTAAGTGATTTTAAAGAGTATTCATTAGTAGTGGAGTATTTGTAATTAATACATAATTGCACATGTTCATATGGTAGCATGCAGTGTTTCTGTACATGTAGACACTATGTAAATCAGGATAATCATGGCTAGCCCCTCAAGCTTTACTGTTTGTGCTGAGAACATTGAAAATCCATTCTTGCAGCTTTTTGAATTAGGATACTATTATCTAATCACTACTATGGAATAGAAAGTAGTTTGATATTTGAGTTTACTCTGTAACCTTGAGTAACACAATCTAAATAAATTTGTCCACATTTTACGTAAGGAAGGTGTGAATATAAGAATTTCCATGTGTGATGTTTTCACTATGGTAGAGTTGGGTCTTGTGTGGCAGTTAGGCCCTTAAGTTAGTCAGATAAGAACCTTACAGAATGGCAGGTACAGCTAAAATTTATCTAGGAAGTTCCCATGTTGGTTACTAGTAATAGGTTTCTTTACCCCTCTAGCATTGGAATAATTCAAAAGTAGGCAAACTAAAGCAGGCAAAATATGGCACCTTTTTGTAAATAAAATTGTGGGCCAGGCATTGTGGTGCAGCAGGTTAAGCCATTGCCAGTCAAACAAACATACCTTTTTTTTTTTTTTTTTCAAGATTTATTTTATTTATTTGAAAGAGTTAGAGATCAAGATCTTCCATCCACTGGTTCACTCCCCAGATGGCCACAAATGGCCACAAATGGCCAGAGCTGAGCTGATCTGAAGCCAGGAGCCAGGAGCTTCTGGGTCTCTCATGTGGGTGCAGGGGCCCAGGGACATGGGCCATCCTCCGCTTCTTTCCCAGACATACCAGCAGGAAGCTGGATTGGAAGTGAAGCAACTGAGATTCAAATTGGTGCCCATATGGGTTGCTGGCGCTGTAGGCTGGGGCTTTTAACTTGCTGCACCATGGAGCCGGCCCCAATATTGGTTTTTTTTTTTTTACATATTTGTATGTAGCTGCTTTCACTACACAGGCAGAGTTGAACAGTTAAGACACAGACTAAGACTATTAGGCTCTTATAGGAAGTTTGGTCACCCCTGGGATAGATTACCACTTCTTTGGTTGAGCCCTAAATGCATAGCTTGTGTTTAGAAGCCAAGCTGTATAAAGAATAAGCAGTAAAATCACAGCAAGGGATTTGTTCACATATAAATGTTGATACAGTAACAGACCAACTTAAGAAAACAGAAGCTTCTAGATTCTCTAATTATGCCTAGTTGGAGATATACCTGAATTCTTTCAGCTGCATTCTTTTAAAAAAATTATTTATTTGAAAGGCAGAGTTACAGAGAGAAGGAAAGACACAGAAAGAAATCATCCATCTGGTGGTTTATTCCCCAAATGGACAGAATGGCCAGGGCTAGGCCAGGCTGAAAGCAGGAACCAGGAGCTTCATCAAGGTCTTCCTTGTGGGTACAGGAGTCTAAGCACTTGGGCCATCTTTTGCTCACTTTAGTGAGGAGCTGGATTGGAAGTAGAGGCATCAGGACATGAGCTGGCACACACATGGGATGCTGGCATCACAGGCAAGACTTAAGCCACTGCGTGCCAACACTGGCCCCTCAACTGTATTCTTGCTCATGAGTTCAGTGTAGATTGTATGTGTGTAGATTGTATGTAACACTGTTAGTTGTTATGTTTTAGCATAGTAATAACTGCGTGCAGAGGTGGCATTTGGCACAGTGGTTAAGACTACACTTGAGATGCCAGCAGCCCATACTGGAGTGCCTGAGTTTGAGTCCTGGCTCTGTTGTTGTTCTTCATATTAATGTACACCCTGGGAGGCAGCAGGTCATGGCTCAAGTAGTTGGATGCCAGTGCTTCAGGCCAGGGCTTTAACCCACTGCACCACAGTGCCAGCCCCAAAACTTCCTAATAAAGTAAAAAGTCAAAACAAGTCTGAATTTATTTCTATATGTTGAGCTATGTGTATTAAAAATTAAGCCTGAAATTATGTAGCTCTGAAAAATCTTGCTATGATAAAATTGAAATAATTAGCAAGTAAGGTAGTTGTAAGATGTGAATTTCGTGTAAATAGGTAACTCATAAAAGCTTGCCATACTGAGATTGAGTTAATTTTACACAGTACAAACTTGTGTTTAATTTCTTTTCCATCTACTTCAAAAAATTACTTGTAGAAGTGTTTAGGCTTGAAGATAGTCATGTAATGTTTGGGGTTTTGTTAACTTTTTTTTTTTTTTAATATTTATTTATTTATTTGAAAGAGTTTGAGAGGGAGGAGAGAAGGTGAGCGAGAGAGCTTCCATCTGATGGTTTACTCCCCAAATGGCTGCAACGGCCTGGACTGAGCCAGGCCAAATCCAGGAGCCTAGAACTCCCATCTGGTGACAGGGGCTCAAGCAATTGAGCTCTTTGGCTGGTTTCCCAGAGGTATTAGCAGAGAGCTGGATCGGAAGTAGAGCAGCTGAGACTTGAACCAGTGCTCATGTGGGATGCTGGTGGTGAATTAACCCTCTGTGCCATCATGTCAGCCTTTTTTGTTAACTTTTAATTGTGTTGTCTCACTGCCTTTTTTTTTTTTTTTTTTTTTTGACAGGTACAGTTGTAGACAGAGAGAGAGAGACAGAGAGAAAGGTCTTCTTTCCGTTGGTTCACTCCCCTAATGACCACTACGGCCGGCACTATGCCAATCCGAAGCCAGGAGCTGGGTACTTCCTCCTAGTCTCCCATGTCGTTGCAGGGACCCAAGCACTTGGGCCATCCTCCACTGCACTCCCGGGCCACAGCAGAGAGCTGGACTGGAAGAGGAGCAACTGGGACTAGACCCTGGGGTGCTGGCGCCGCAGGTGGAGGATTAGCCTAGTGAGCCATGGCGCAGGCCCGTCTAACTACTTTTAAGTTTTGTGCTTTGTCCCATGAGAAGACTGGTCTTGATTTTTGACAACTAGCTTGGCAAGGAGATGTGTGTTTTTGAAAGCTTTTTTTTTTTCTAGAAATTGGAGTGCGGAAGTGCGGAGAAAGGACTGCTGTAAACTGTTGATTTCTCTGCCATCCCTGTTCTTAGTTCTTGCATAGCTGTGAATCCAAGAACCCCAGTTTCACAGAACACTGACATTACTACTGGGCTCTTAACTGTGTGCTTTTGCTGATCCTTAGAATGCAGGAGGTAGATCGTACTTCCAGCTCTTGTTGTGGGCCACTCATACTGGCAAGATTCTCTTTGAATGTGTTACTATATGCAGTCTTTCAGAAGGAGAGATGATGTCCCCAGCCTGTTAGTGAGGAACCCAAAGTGTAGAAAATCAGGTGACTTTCTCTCATGGTTTTATAACCAGTAAGTGAATAAAAACAAAATGTAGATTAAGGTTTGTCTGTTTTCTGAAAATCAGAGTGAATGTGTAAGAGTCCCCATAGTTTGCTACAATGTCAGACAAATGTAGTGTCCTCAACAAGATCAGTGCCAACTAATATTCTCACTTGAACACTTGCAATTTTGACACCTCTAGGGCTACAGAGTTATAGAAGAGAAACTTCCAGTTATCCGGTCAGAAGAAGAAAAAGTCAGATTTGAAAGGCAGAAAGCCTGGTGCTGTTCAACGTTGCCAGAGCCTGCAATCTGTGGGATCAGTAGAATATGGGTATTCAGCATGATGCGGCGGAAGAAAATTGCTTCTCGCATGATTGAATGCCTAAGGTAATTTGAATGTAATTCTTAAAATCATTTTTGGTAGTTGAGGATTTTAGCAGAGTTTTAAAGGTCAGTATTTAAATAATGAAGTCATTTCAAGCTGTGTTTGAAACTGGAGAATGTAAGCAAAGAAATGTGAAACATTATCTGGGAGGTTAACTTACGGAGCAATTTGTCTTAATCTATGAATATTATTGGTAAACTGAGTCTCACATTTTTCTTTTATCAGTTGGTTATTAAAAGTAAAGAGGGGAAACTCAAATTGTATATTTTGTTTTTTCTTCTATAAAGCACCATTGATAAAGGTTTAATGGAGGAGGTAAAAATCATTCAAAAGATATTTTTAGGTCTACCTGTCAGTTTTTGTTTATTCACAGAATCTTGATCTCTGAGTATGGCTTTCAAAATAATTAAGAATAAATTATAAGTGAGATCCTAAGGTTTTAAGAATCTCAGGGCCTTATTTGGTCTATTCTCTTCATTAATGCATAGCTTCTTCCGGGTCTCCCACGTGGGTGCACTTGGGCCATCTTCTGCTTTCCCAGGCCATAGCAGAGAGCTGGATCGGAAGTGGAGCAGCTGGGACTTGAACCAGTGCCCTTATGGGTTGTCAGCACTGTAGGTGGTGGCTTTACCCACTACGCCACAGTACTGGGCCCCTAAAATTATTTTCAAATAACAGCTTTATTGAGATAGTTATATACCATAAAACTCATGTTTAAATTTTCAGTTGAGTAAGTTTCAGCGTATTCAGAAGGCTATGCAAATCATCTCCACTATCCAATTTCAGAACATTACAACTTGTGACCTTCTGTGCTGGTTTCTTTCAGTAGCATAATAATTTCAAGGATCATTCATATTATAGAATGTATAACGTGTACTTCATTCTTTTGTTTTTAATTGCCAAATAATATAACATGTAATTATACCACATTTTATTAGTTCATTAGTTGAATGTTTGGGTTGTTTCCACTTGTTGGCTATTATGATATGCTGTGAACATTCATAATCAAATTTTTGTGTGAATGTGTTTGTTTTTCCCTTGGGTGTATACTTAGAGTAGTAGAAGCACTGGCCCTTATGGTAGGTGTATGTTTACTATTTTGAGAAACTACCAAGTTGTTTTCCACAGTGGTTGCACCATTTTACAATCCCAGCAGCAATGTTTGAAGGTTTTAATTTCTCCACATCATTCCCAACCTTGTTAATGTCTGTTTTTTTAATGAGCCATCCGAGTGGGTATGAAGTATTCGTTCATTTAGTTCTGATTTTCATTTCTCTGGTGACTAATGATGGTAAATATTTATTTTTTCATGTGCTTATTGGCCCTGTATATACCTTTAAAGAAAACCTATTCAAATCATAGGTCCATTTTTAAAATGGCTAGCTTTAATAGCTCTTTATGTATTCTGGTACAAGTCCCTTGTTATGTGTATGATTTGCAAATATTTTCTATTTTCATGGTTATCTTTTCATCTTGAAAATATCTTTGCTAACATACATTTTTTTTCACTTGGATAAAATCCAAGTTATACATATTTTTCTTTCATCACTTCTCTTTTGGATAATACATATAAGAAGCCATTGCCTGATGGCCACAAAGACTCAAGCTTTGGTTTTCTTCTAAGAACTTATAGTTCCAGTTCTTAGATTTCAGTCTTTTGTGCATTTTGAGTTCATTTTGGAATACAATGTGAGGTAGATATCACATGTAGACATCAGTCTGTTTTCCATGTGCTCATCCAGTTGTCTCAGCACCATTTGTTGTTTCCCATTTTTGAGTACTGTTGACATGCTTATCAAAAATCACTTGAGGTCTGCGCCGTGGCTCAATAGGCTAATCCTCCGCCTAAAGTGCCGCACACCGGGTTCTAGTCCCGGTTACCCCTCTTCCAGGCCAGCTCTCTGCTGTGGCCCAGGAAGAGGGGCAACTGGGACAGAATCCGGCGCCCTGACCGGGCCTGGGAGACTAGGAGAAGCACCTGAGGCGGAGGATTAGCCTATTAAGCTGTGGCGCCAGCCAGTTTTATATCTAGACTCTCAGTCATATTCCACTAGTCTGTGTAGTACTACACAATTGTTAGTACTATAGCTATGGGTAGCATGTTTTGAAATGGGAAATTGTGAATTGTGATTTTTCCAATTTTGTTGTTTCCTCTTTTTAAAAGATTTTTTTTGACTATTCATCCCATGTATTTCCACATTAATTTGAGGATTAGCTTGGCAATTTCTGCAAGGAGGCCAGTTGTAGATCAATGCAGGGTCATGCCGTTTTAACGATATTAAGTTTCTTAAGCCATAAACTTGGGATGTATTTCTATTAGAGCTTTAATTTCAACATTTTTCCCCCAAAAAAGGTTTATTTATTTGCAGGGGGGAAAGAGGAGAGACAAAGAGATCTTCCATAGGCTGGTTCATGCTCTAAATGGTTTCAACAGCTGTTGCTAGGCCAGGGCAGGCCAAAGCCAGAAGCCTGAAGCTTCATCCAGGTTTCTCACATGGGTAGCAGGGGCCTAACTAGTTAGGCCATCTTCTGCTGCTTTCCCAGGCACATAAGCAGGGAGCTGGATCAGAAGTGGAGCAGTTGGGACTCCCAACGGGTGCTCCGATGTGGGATACCAGTCAGCTTGTACCACAGTGCTAGACTCACAACAGTGTTTTATAATTTGTAGTTTACAAGTCTTATACTTTTGTTAAATTTATTCCTGAATGATTTTTTTTAATTTTTTATGCTACTGTAAGTGGAGTTTTTTCTAACTTTTATATTCAGATGGTTTCAGATATATAGAAATACCAAGTCCCTCCCATATGGGTGACAGGGACATTGCCAGTTGAGCCATCACCTGCTGCCGATTAGCAGGGAGCTGGAATTGGGGGCAGAGCCGGGACTTGATCTCAGGCATTTCAGTGTGGGATGCAGGTGTCCCAAGTTGCATCTTTACCATTAGGCCAAAGGTCCTATCCCTTTTTGCTTCATCTAATTGTCCTGAATAGAACCTCCAGTCCTGTATTGGATAGAAGAGGCAAGAGCAGCCTTGTCTTGTTCCTGATCTTCAAGGAACAGTTTTCAGTCTTTACCACTATGTTCTTTGACATCCTTGGTTAGGTTGAGGAAGTTCTTTGACCTTGAGTATTTTTATCATGAAAAAATTTTAGGTAAATGTTTTACATTGTTGCTTTTATATATAAATTTTTTTTACCTTTATTGATAATATTTTAGATGAAGTTATTTTTCTAATTTTAATGATTTAATAATATTCTTTCTATTCCCCCCCCCCCTTTTTTTAAATAGGAGTAACTTTATATATGGCTCGTATCTGAGTAAAGAAGAAATTGCTTTCTCAGATCCCACTCCTGATGGAAAACTGTTTGCGACCCAGTACTGTGGCACTGGCCAGTTTCTGGTATATAATTTTATTAATGGACAGAATACCACCTAAAATAAGTTCTTGCCTGCAGTACTAGAAGAAGTCGAAGAGAATGGATTGGTTGCTGACTTTAACCAGGAACTAGGGCCATTTTTATTACAATGAACTCAGGACTGGCAACAACCATGTGGTTGTTCCATTTTCATAAAATTGGAAAAATGCAGTAATAGCTTATTGTTTTGTTTTTTAAAGAAGATATTTTATTATCTTTTACAGAAGTTTATGATGGATGTATTTTATCTATAGTTATTTAGACATGTTTACATGCAGCAGATAATTGTTCATAATGGACTGAAAACTAACGCAAGGACTTTGGTCTCAGTGATAAGTATATCTTGAAGTTCTTAACATGGAAATATACCAGTGTAGCTTGGTACTGTATTTTTTTATATTGATCTGCTGATACCAGTTATAAGTTTAAAGATTGTATTTTTGGAGTGGAAACCAATGTTTTCAAGTCATTATTCAAGGAGGGTACAATATTATGTGTTGAGGAATTTGAAAGTAATTTGTAGAAGTCCTGAAATTTACTTTTAAGAGACTCTTTCAGAAAGGAAAAGCTCTAAATAAGCAGGAAGAATTTACAGTACAGAGCTTTTCCTCCCTTGATGTCAGGAAGAAGTGGAAGGTGGTAGAGTTGAGGCTCCCTCTCCTAGAGACCTGGGACTGACGAGGATTATGAAGGGTACCCTCTGAGTTTATTATTCTTTCATTCTAGTTACTTTTTTTTTTTTTTTTTTAACATGGCAACTTGGCACATTTAGCCTAACAAATTTCAAAGAGGTTTATAAAAACCAGTGGACTAATTACAAGTAAATACGGATGACTCGGTATCTGCTTTGTTATTCCTCAGAAATACTGCACTGAGTATATGCCCTCATTACTGGACTTCATTTCATACTTGTCTATCCTTCATAGTGCCCTCTACTTTTAAAGGGTTTATATGTTGAAAAACTGCTGTGGCCTTTTATGAACTGTATATAATGTAGAATAAAATAATAAAATACTTGACAGCTTTTTCTAAGTGATAAATGTATTCAGATAATGGTGTGTTGTCATTTGTGCTTCCCCAAGGACTTTTTTCAGTTTACTACCTTGGAATATGATTGAAACAGACTTAAAAGCAGTTTTCCCCCATCTTGCCAAAAGATCATTTTATAAGCAGCAAATTGGTTGAACATTATCTCTAAAAGGGAAAATCTTTTGGTTATTTTAGTAACTTGGTACTTCTCTGATCTCAAAGAAATAAAGGGCTATAGCCCAATAATAAAGTCCTACTATAGTTCAGCTTATTTTTATTGGCTAAAATGATCATATCCACATTGAAAGCTAGCTAAAATTTAGGGCTTTGTTAATAGATGTATATTCTGTTCCTTATAGATTTGTGCTGTTATTATTTATAGAGTAGTAGAAGACTCAGTACTCCTTTTATGAGAATGGTAAAGCACTGTAAATATTTCCTTCTGGCTCATCATGATGGTCTGGCTTTTGACATTTCCATTTTCCTTTGGGCTTGAGACTCTTCCAGCTCTCCCATGAGTTGCCTGCATTTTTGTTAATCAGCATTTTTTTTTAACAGAATGGGGTTTTAGGGTATACTAGACTTGGGGACCTTTTTTCTGCCACTTACCATTTGGATATTTATAATAACATCAGTTGTGGGCCATACAAAGTTATCAGCTTTAAAAAATTAGCCTGCTATAGATTTATTGAATTTCCAGTCCCACCTGCAGTTTAGGGGCAGACCAAATGATTTCATGGGCCTTATGTGGTTCACAGATGGGACATTCCCTACCCCAGGTAGACATGGTAACTTCCTAATCTGGTTTCCATGTAAGCCAAGGTGCACTACTTTGACCAAACCTGGTGGTTTCAAGGAGAGGTAGGGGTGTCCTTAGAAATGATACATTGAAATGTTAACTATTATGGGAATATAGTTTACTTTCATGTTTATATTGAAGACACAGCCCCCTCAAATTTTTTAAATTTAGGTATTTCTCTAAGAATAGTTTAATTAGTAATACTTGACAGTTGAGTATTTGCTGTCTTTCAGATATTGTCTTTAGTGCTGCATTCTTTTACTTAGTTACGACAACCCTGTGAAGTAGGTTTTACAAGTGAGTACTAGGCACATAGAAAGTAATTAAGAAACTTGTTGTAGCAGTTTGTGTGTGAAGTGCTGACATGCTGGGCTACAGCTGTGATATGAAGATGATGAGACACACACAGTGGGAACATAAGACTGAAGAACTGATAGGGGTTTATAACCTAATGATCGGATCATGGGGGAGAATCTAGGGTGAGTGAGAATTTTAGTTTGAGAGATTGAGTAGATGAATGGACTGAGGTGGGAATGCAGGAGAACTGGGAGGATTCCATGGTGAAAGATGGACTGAGGTTTGGTGAAGACTTTAAGGTGGTGATGGAATCTCATGGTGGAGGTACCCAGCTAGTGCACACTGGCACCTGTGAGGCTAGAGCTTGACAGAAGTGTGGACTGAGCAAGTAAGAGTGAGGTTTCGTAGAGATCACACAGGGGTTTGGAAAGTGAGAAGGTCACGAGACAGTTGTGGAATGCTGTCAGTTAAGGGTTGCAGAAGAAGAGTACCTGAGAAGGCGAGAGCAAAGAGGAGACAGTGGTAGAAACCATGAGAGGAGTTTCAAGAATCAGACCGCAGCCGGCACTGCCGTACTGTAACTGAAGACTGAAGAGAATCCACGTGGCGGAGAGCAGGTCTGGCGGCAGCAGTGGGCGCGGTGAGTACACGCTGATGGCGGGGCGGGGGGGGGCGATTGCCGATGACACAACGCTGCCTATACACCGTTATTTTCTTCGTGGGCTCTCAGTTGCTGACCTTTTTCTTCAGTGTCTACTATGTAGACATTAATAGGAACCATAAGATGTGTATGGGCTGTCACCTTACCTGCATGGGCACACGGTGGTTTTAGTTTATCAGGAGTTACAGAAAGATCTTACCAGTGTATAAGGCGGAAGCGTGAAGGTGGTGTGTGCAGCAGCCCTGAGGCAGCGCTGCTGGGGAGCTGCTCGCCCAGTTCTTGCGAGGCTGTCGCCTTCTGCCCCCTTCCGGAGAGCACAGCCGTGCTCCTGTCAGCCGTGTTTCCCAGGGCCGTGGTGGCTGCTGCTTTCCTAGGTGGCGACTGCAGACCTACATGTCTTTCTCATGAGTCTTCTGGCAGAAGGGAGGGTGATTCGTGTCTACAGCAACCGTCCAACCTCACACCCTCTTCAAAATCAAGCACATTGAACTGTTGATGGGATGAAGTGGTCAGAAAACAACCCAGTGGCCTTGCTTTTGCTTTCTTATTCCTTCTGTTGTCACAGTCACTGAAGTAGATGGATTTGAAGGCTTGGGACTTGGCAGTTCAGAGAACAGTGAGTAGCCTTAGAAGCCTATCACCCAGAGTGCTGGTGTTTTTGGTGAGGTTAGGGTTTCAGTATCCTAACGGTATTCTAGCCACCAGGAAGGCTTGGGGCCAGTTTCCGTGTCTAAGGAGAAGACTGGGCACACATGTAGGGCCCAGGTGGTTATTATGAAGGGGCAGCACTCAGTCTCACAGGTGCTGGTATTTGAGGGCACTGGAACACTGGCATCATCAACACGCTGCCCTCCTGAGTGCACCCAGGGGCCTTTATCCTACAGAAGTGTTTTAGTGGGTTTTCCGTCAAATTCTACTTTAAACATTTACTCATCTTTAAAGTCTTATTTATTTGAAGGACAGAATTAGAGATCTTCAATCTGCTGGGTCACTCTCCAAGTGGCTGCAGTAGCCAGGACCGGTCCAGGCTGAAGCCAGGAGCCCAGAACTCCATCCGGGTCTCAGGCCATCATCTGCTGCTTTCTCAGTTGCTTTAGCAGGGAATTGAACCATTAGCAAGAGTGAAGCAGCGGGGATTTGAATCAGCACTCTTATGGGATGCTGGTGTCTCAGACCATGGCTTAACCCGCCGTGCCACAGCGCCTGCCCGGTTTACTACTCTTTACACAATAGAGCTGAAAGGCATTTTTCTGGGATAATAAGTTATTTCTTAACAGCTGGTAAAATCAGGTGAAGTTGAATGCCTCATTTCATACTTGCAGCAATCCAGTTATGTTGACAGGACTGAGAAGGACACCAAAGTGAGCAGGGTTGCCATCTATTAAAGATTTGGGGTATACCACGAATATTTCTAACATCTCTTTGTATGGAAGTCTGCCAGTGGGTCTGTAGGTTATGTGTATAAGGTACAGATTGACGTGTAACCAATGTTTATTAGCACTTCTTGGACTGTTCTGCTAGAATAGCACAATCTTAAGAATCACCCGTCCTTTGATGTGGGGACTTCAGCCTTTCTGGACATTGCCAAAATCAGTGAGCTCATTTCCGTTTTTAGCTTACCAGAACATTAGTTCAAACAAGCTTTTTGTGAGGTGGGAGGGGTAGGAGAAACTTTAATACATTCACCAAATTACATGAAAGGACAAGAACATACTATGGACACAACTTAAGACAATTTAGAATCAAACAAATTGTGAGGTAGACTAGTGAAATTCACCAAATTTTGGTTAAGAAAAGTTTACAGTAATAACACAGGTGCCCCCTTTCCTAAAAATCACAAAAAGCAATTGCATAAATTACAGCCAAAAAAAAAACTGCCTCCAACAATTCAAATTTTTAGTTTACATTCAGCATTCACCTGTATGAACTGATAGGCGCCAAGCTTCAGCAGGACTACAGTCAGGTTAATGTGTAGGCCTAGTGCATCCACTCACCCCACATTAAGCATTCTAAGGGATGGAAAGCTTAAAACAACACACACCAAGGTACATATTAACAAGTCATGGTGCCCTGGACTTGTGCAAGTTGATCCTTGAAGAAGGACCCAACGTTCTCTACAGAACTATACTTTAGCTCTAAAGAATTATACTGATAAGGTGATTTTTAAAAATCCACACTTTACTAAGATATGCTTTGAAGAGAATAAGCAAGTCAATTCAGTTTCTGCTTCACTGAGGTGATGGTCCTTTGGCTTTATTCTGGCATTTCTCTTCCACAAAGTTAAATGGAGTACTTGAATTAAAAATAACTACTTTAAAAAGAAAAGTTCTTTAGACTATGAAGTCATAAAAAGCCAGAAGAAACCCTGAGAGGCCATCTGCCCCGGGTACAGCTGTTTTAGAATTATTTCAAGTATTTTATTTGCCCTATAAAGTAAATATTACTGGAATATTGCACAAACAGTGGGTTTCTTGATAGCGTCTGCATTAGGCCCTTTCAGTAAAACAGGATCAAGTGAAATACATTCATATCTAAACCAAGATGCTTCAAAACGTACCTCTTCATCACAAGATTCTAAAATTAAGGAGTATTTAAAAGGCAGGTCCTCTAAAGGACAGTTAAAAATGGGGTTAAAAGAAATTGTTCGTTTCAGAATACATTTAAAGCATCGTAAGTAGATCTCCAGAATCATTCTCACTCCAGTATACTCCATCTCCATTAACTGTAAACCCTTTGTTAGCACAGGACCATGAAGCTGGTCAGGTAACACTCTTTGTTTTACGTAAATGCAGGCTCAGTGGACACCTTTCATTCGTGTAGGTGACAAGATCAATGCCAGTGAAAATGGTCCTTTTAAGTGGAAGATAAAGTGATACTGATGGGCTGAGAAAATCTCAAGAGATTGTATAATGATGAGAACGGGCATAATTAAAGTAGACTTAGTTCTAGAACATTCTCTAAAAATCTTTTTGGTTACGATATTTGGTGTGAAATCTGTAGAAACAAATATTTGGAGACATCTGCTGGTTTCTGTGAGTCAAAAAGCCTTCATGGAATCTTCCTGACTCCCCGTACAAGAGTCACTGGTGGGGTTAAGTAAAACAGTTCTCTCTCTATGGCTCTATTTCCCTTTACAGCAGTTTCTGTGTTGTCAGTGTAAGGCCGCTGATACTCAGTGTCCTTTAAAGGAAACTTTGCTTGAGTCTCTGAAAGGAAATGAACTAGTTCTATTCCACAACAGAACCTTAGCCTGCCTTGAGCTTTGCTGGTACCAACTGCTTAATTCCAACCAAAACAGCGTGGGTGCAGGTTAACTGTTGAAAGCTTCTGAACTGGCTCAACTAAATCAACTAAATGTATTCTTAATGTTCCTTTCTAACATTCAGAGTGGCGAAAACCTATTTAATATGGTCACAAATCTGGCCTAAGGTTATTCACTGTTCCATGTTGTCATAGACATGGGGTGCTTAAAGACTAGCAACATTTTAAAGAATGGGAAAAGCAAAGGACTTAAGCCAGGAGAAGCCACATAAATGCACGCACACAATGCCTGCTCTGCATTTACCAATTTGCTTGTTCAGTTTAAATAGTAAACTTTAAACTCCTGTGGAAATTTGCCAAAAGTTTCAATACGTATAAGATTATAAATCTTAAACTAACACTGCACAGAGAAAGACAAAGCTACTTTTTTAAATACAAATATCTTCTACATTCTATCATTCAGACCCCTGAGTAATACTGTACCGTAGTACAGATCTGAAGAGAAACCGAGGGTTCAGGCCTCGAACGTTAATCTTCAATGAATTCCACACCAACAGTGTGAGTCTCTTGTCACATTCAAGCTAGCTCGTGCGCAGAGTCCGTTTCCCGTAACACAGTGTAGTAGAAAAAAAAAAATGCCAGCTCTGTTTGTTCTCCAAAGTGAATCCTCGGGATCCCACGGGCAGACCACTTCTTAAGGAACTGAATAACTGCCTAGGGTGGAGTTAACCCAAGTTTAAGGTCCTGTAAGTAGAACTGAAGAAGAGTGATGTCCCCAAAGACCTGGGGCGGCTTTGGGGAGTTCTTTGGAGAATAGACACGTATGTTGCACTTCGCTCCACAGTGATTGTACTTTAAAGAAAAAAAAATGCCCAGTGTTTCTGTCCCTCCCCACCTAGGCATCCCATTGCTGTTTTCGGTCTCTCCAAAAGCTCATACGTGGCGTCCAGTAAGAAAGAAGAGAGGTTTGTCGTCACTGCTGTTCGCAGTCTGAAACTCGTCCCTCAGGCGAAACTGCCACTCGTCCTCCAGCTCTAAGCGAACAATTGTCTGACGTAAGGAGCTTCTATCCTGGCAGATGACGCACAGCGTAGCACCTTGGGGGGAGGGGGGGAGGCAGAAATGCGTCTCAGGCTCAGGGGCTGAATTTCTAACGAGCTTTACCACTTCTAATTGCGTTTCTGCGCTAACGTTAACATCTGAGGACCAACATACAGGTAAGGAACTCAACTGTTCAGTTTAATTTATGTTGAATAAGTGGTTTCAGAAATGCAAAGGCTTAGAAGGATGTAAAGTGGGAAGTCTCCCCAAAACAGGATCCCCTGCCCCTGTGGTAACCAATGTTAAAACACGTACATGTTTCTAGGTTTCTTGGTGTTTTCTCTGGGATGCGGTTATCTCGACACTGCTGGACTGGAGAATTCCTTGTGAGGGCACCAGAGTGCCTCTCCTGTGCCTTTTAGGATGCATCGTGGCATCCCTGGCTCTGCCCGCCTCCCGTCAGTAGCCCCAGCACAGAAACAGCCGCACAGCTCTGTGTTCTCACGCTGCACGTGACAGTCTTGACCTCACTTTTTTCTGCTTACCTCAAAGGTCACCCTGTGAGGATGATTTCAGGAGCTTAATGATGCAGTTTGTTACCAGGCAAATTAGCTCTTTCTCTGGCACATGCCTACTAAAGCAACATCTGTTTCTGTACCAGAATAATAGAGTTTCTATCTGGGGATGCAATTAGACACACTGCTATTGATTTCTGACTCAGGCAGCACATTTGGATTATTACAGAGTGTGTACTAGCCATGTGTACATGTACTGGTAGACTCATTAACCTGATATAAAGCTACATTATAATGGCAGAACCCTATTTAATATGGTCACAAATCTGGCTGTTCAGCTGGACTTAAGATAGCAGTAGCCTTGGTTTAAAATCAAGGTATTCAAATTATCAGCAAAACAATGTTAAAATGCTTTTCAAAAAGGTATCTTTTACCCCTATATTTTGTGTAGTGGGAACTGGTAGCATTCACAAGATTCTAAATATGACTTACCTTTTAGAAACTTAAATTTCTTAAGAAGATCAGCACCTACAAAAGAGTCACAGAGGTACAAGAGGAGTCCACTGAAAAACACCCCTTCACAGTTGACGTTGCTGGAGTGGGGTCTGGAGCTGACGTAGCACACGGCCACCTGCAATCAGCAAGCAGAATCGTGTGAGCACCGGAAGCCAGCGGGACATCTGCACCCTAGCTGGATGAGGCAGGATCCCCCTCCTCACTTCAGGCTAAGGGCAGGGAGATTAATGTATCTTAGTGTTAGTGTAAGTGGGTTGGTTATCTGAGGTTTGTACCCCTTATTTTACGTGCCCAGCTTTCGTTTTTTGTTTTCTTTTTTAAATTTTGATATACTATTTGAACGGCACAGTGAGAGAGTGAGACTGAGAGCAAGAGAGTGAGCTGCCATCCACTAGTTCACGCCCTAAATGGTCGCAAGGCTGGGGCTGAGCCAGGCCGAAGTCGAGAACTGGACCTTTACCCGGGTCTCCAATGTGGGTGGCGGAGGCCTAAGCACTTGGGCCATCTTCTGCTGCCTTCCCAGGTCATTAGCAGGGAACCAGATAGGAAGCAGAGCAGTCAGGACTCGAACCAGCACCCATATAGGATGCAGGTATCACAGGCAGCGGCTTAACCCACTTGAGCTTATTTCTAAAGCCCCTTTAGCTGTTTCTAAAGCTTATTTCTCACTAATAAAGAACTGTGGTTAGATAAATTGCTACTAAGAAACAACAACAAAAAACCCTTCCATCTAAGAGTCTATATAATAAAAATCGATTTTCCACAAAAAGGCATATTTAAGAAAGATGATAGGTTTATATTAAAGAACTATATTTGCAATCAGCTTTTCATTTAGATATGCTTTTCAATTGTATCAATTATGAATTAAGGCTTTTAGCTTTGTATGGCTTCCAATATAGAAGATAACTTTACAAAAATTACAGGGACATGAATAAAATTGTGGGGAGGGAGAATGATGGGGGAGCAGGAGTTTGGGCTAGTGGTTAAGATGCCAATTAAATTATGTTTTTGCAAAAATTAAAGAAGGAGGGGTTTGAGAGAAGGATGGGGAGAGAGGGAAGTATGATTATCTTAGAACTGTACCTATGAAATAAATATCTGTTCTCTATATTAATAAAAAACATTTTAAAAAAATGCTGATTAAGATTCTTGTGTTCCAGATCAGAGCACGTGGGTGTGAGTCTCAGCTCTGGCTCCTGACTGATTTCCTGCTACTGCAGACCCTGGGAGGCAGCAGTAATGGCTCAAGTCATTGAGTTTCTGACACTCAAGGTAGAGAGCTCCCTTGGCCCAGCCCCAGCTATTGCTGGTATTTAGGGTGCAAACCAGCAAATGAGAGCATATTCTCTCTGTGCCTCTTTTAAGTTTTAAAAGGGGGGTGGGGCGATGGCCACATGTGTGGGCCAGTCTGGGTGAGTTCTCCCATTTGGTAGCCATAAGAAACCGCAGTTTCCTTCAGTTTTCTGAAGAAGTACCTGTTTCGTAGGGCTATTTTGTGGATTAAATAATTAACATAAACCACTTTGTAAGTATTCAATAAATGCTGTTAGCATTAATAGTGAGATTGTTTAATGCTTGGAGCCCTGGACTCTAGAGTAGGGGAAATGGAGGCCTGGGTTAGGTGCATAATCTACATGGATAACATAAAAGGGTTGGCATCTGCTTGGCTTTAAGGTTCCGTGTACCTCCCAAATTCCACCATTCATGGACCAACCCATAGTGTACACTGTTGAAACATCATAAAAAGGACAATGTAAAATGTTTACACTGTATTCAATTTGGAAACTTAACAGATTTCCGTGTTAAGAGTATATGTTCATCAATATATACAAAGACAAAACCCTGGAAGGAAGTGTAGTACACCCAGGTGCTATGTTCCTGTTACAGGTGATTTTATATGGAGTCATCAAAAAACTCATGGAAAATGTGCATTATGAAAACACTGTGCATGGATTTTAAAACTTTTTATACTAAAACTCATTTTTATTCCATTTTCCATGAGCTTTTTGAAGTGCCTTCATTATACCTCTTCCTTATTTTAAAAATCTCATTGCAAGGATATATTGCATGGATGAATGAAGTAGAATACTGCTTTTAAAAAGAATACTAAGGGAAAGCTTAGTGGAGGAAGCCTGGAGGTACAAGTGGCAACTAAAGAAAAAACTAGGGCTGGCGCTGCAGCTCACTAGGCTAATCCTCTGCCTGCAGCACCGGCACCCCGGGTTCTAGTTCCAGTTGGGGCGCTGGATTCTGTCCCAGTTGCTCCTCTTCCAGTCCAGCTCTCTGCTGTGGCCCGGGAAGGCAATGGAGGATGGCCCAGGTCCTTGGGCCCTGCACCCGCATGGGAGACTAGGAGGAAGCACCTGGCTCCTGGCTTCAGATTGGCGCGGTGTGCTGGCCATAGCAGCCATTTGGGGTTTGGGGGGTAAACCAACAGAAGGAAGACCTTTCTCTCTGTCTCTCTCACTGTCTAATTCTGCCTGCCCAAAAAAAAAAAAACCTGTTAAAGAACAGAAGACCTCAGAAGTGAGGTTGAGAAATGGCAGCTATAAAGATCTCTAGTGGGACGCATTTATTTGTTCAGTAACCGTTGAGTTCCTCAGCTGTCAAGAACTGTGGCCTTTGACAGGCAGTCTGGATAATTCCTGCATGGTCTGGTGTGTGGTAAGACAAGTGGGAGCAAGCAACTGCTTTTCTGCCCCAGGTCGTCAGGGTCGGCCTCTCAAGAGCTGACCTCTGAGCTAAGCCGGAATGCCCATGGGCTCCTTTTGTAGAGGTGGCGCAGGTCTGGGCAGGGGCACGTGCCGTCACAGCTTGTGTAGCCCTCGGGTAAGTGTGTCCCAGGCTCCTTTTGGACACCATTTAAATGACAAAGCAACAGAGCCCAAAGTGGCTGGATGGGGAAGGTTAAGTACTAGCTGTACGCCCACGCCCACCCCCCACACCACCAGCACCTCACCTCCTGCCCGATGTTAAGGTAGCAGTCGATGGCCAGCACGGGACTCTTGAAGTTACGGATGGCTTTGGGGAAGAGTTTATAGGACGCATGCTGAAGGAACTTCTCCAGGAGAAACTGTGCAGGGGCTGCCAGCAGCGTGTGTTCACTGTCGGGAGCACAGACGTACTGAAGGGGCAAGATGGGTGCTAGGCTCTCCGACACCTAGAATGAGTCAAGACGATCACTGGAAACGCGTCCCTCATTGAACGAAAGGCCCAAGAAAACACTGGACTGAATCACAGCCATCCCCCCTTCTGCACGGGGGATGTGTTCCAAGACTCCACGTGGCTCCCTGAACCATGGGTAGTACTAATCCCAGTGTATATTGATTTGTTTAATTTACAAATTAGGCACAGAAGAGATTAACAGCTAATTATGAAATAGAAACAATAAGAGCAAGGTATTGTCCTAAGAGTTGCGTGACTGTGGTCTGTAATCTGTCATGACGAATACTCATGTTTTTGGACACAGGTGACAATGTGGAAAGTGAAGTGGTGGCTAAGAGGGTTCTACTGTAAGAACGGCAGCGCAGGGACAGGTTTGTTTCAAGTATCTGTCATTTTGGGGTCGAGATTTTTTACCCCCCTCTCTGGGGATACTACAATAAGGATTTAGCAAAAGTAACACAGGGCCAGGAGAGTGGAAAGTAGGCTTGTAAAAGAGTTTTACTGTATTTAACAAATAATAGTGTCAGGTCCTACAGGAAGTTGCTTATGATACTGCTGGTGTGAGTGGGTTAAATCCTGTCTCGTCTCGGGCTGGCATAGGTTAGGTTTCCACCTACGGTGCTGGCACCTGATATGGACGCCAGTTCAAGTCCTGGCTGCTCCACTTCCGATCTAGCTCCCTACTAGTGCCCTGGGAAAGCAGTAGAAGATGGCCCAAGTCCTTGGGCCCCTGTACCCAGAAGAAGCTTCTGGCTTTGTTTTGGCCCAGCTCCGGCCTTTGCGGCCGTCTGGAGAGTGAATTAGTGGATAGAGGACCTCTCTGTCTGTCCCTCTGTAACTCTGCTGCTCAAATAAATCAATCTAAAAAATCCTTCTCATCTGAAACAAAAAAGCAAAGAGACTCTGAGCTCCAGGCAAATGATAAATTCATAATCTATTCAGAAAGGCGAGGGATGTGAAATTCTCTGCACAGGTTTTATTCTGTGTTACTAGCCATTTAAAAATGTCTGCTAATGGGGCCCATGCTACGACATAGCAGGTTAAGCTGCTGTCTACAGTGCCTGCATCCCGTAGGGGCACCGATTTGCTCCTGGAAGAAGCTTCTGGCTCCTGGCTCCAAACTGGCCCAGCCCCAGCTGTTGTGACAATTTGGGGAATGAGCCAGCTGATGGAAGACCTTTCCCTCCTCCTCCCTCTCCCTCTCTGCCTTTCAAATAAATTAATCTTAAAAAATTTAAAAATAAAAAGTCTGCTAAAATAACCAAACCTTTCATTATTATATAAAGAATATAAAAATGGAACGTTTACCATTTTGAAACTAAAGCTCTGATGGAAGTGTTGACGCTTAAATATGAAAGGTAATCTCACTGAATTAGCAACTCACTGTTGGGCTCTGGCTGGGTCCTCAGGAACAGAAATGAAACTTCCAGTCTGACATTAGGAAGTCCCCTGTGTTAATTCGCTTTCACATCACGTGGAAAGTGTCTAATAACCGAAGCATGTTTACGCAGTCACTGCTTATTTTCAAAAGTGGGCTCAAGCTTGCAAAACTTACCATGATCTTTGGTTTAATGATGAAGTCCCGTTGCCCGCCAACCTGGACATGCTTCTTCATGAGACTGAAGTTATTAAAGCGGCAGATGAGCAGGCCACTACTGTTTGTCCTCAGGTTGAAGTCAACGTCTTCACAGAAGTACCTACATCGTAACCACAGGGGTGGGTTTTTTCTTCTGACTGTGTCACATCTCAGCCACTACCGCATGCGGAGAACTGTGCAGCAGAGGTCAGGAGAGGGCCTAGAGCAGCCGCGCCCGCTAGGAACTGGCCTGCCCAGCACTGACCTGTCGGGACCCTAGGTTGTTAAAGGAAGGAGGACCTGAGGTGACTTTTGTCTCAGATACATATAGGGTTTTGTGTTTAAAGAAAAAAATTTAAAAAATTCTATCCATGAACATGATGAAGCATTGGCCAGATGTAAAAGAGAAGTGAAAGTAGCAGTTATTCTAATTGCCACAAATTCTAGGGGCGACCTAAAGGACTACCTGGGTCCTCGGAGATTTTTCAGGAACAAGCACACCCAGGAAGCAAGGCGGGGGCCAGCCTGCTCATCTCCGCTTGTTGCCTTTTTCCTGCATGATCCAGATCTCTCTAACATTTGGGGGAAGGGGTGGCCTGCCGAGCTCTAAGAGGAGGTGACTGAGAGTTTAGTCTTCATGTTGTGGGGCCACACACTGATCCGAGACAGCTTGACTGAGTTCTTTGACAGCCAAATGCGCTTTCTAAGCATCTCACACTAGCCCTGTTCACTAGGGGCCTAGGGCCAATGGAAGGGTGGTGAAGGGGCACAACGTGGGGCTTGCGATTCCCTCTCCCCTTTCTCCATGGAGGGGTTTCTCAGCTTCTCAACAACACATAAGAATACTACAGAGTAGTAAAACTACTACAGAGGCTGGAGCGGGGCAAAGGCGACGAGGAGCCATCAGGGCTCCCCGCGTGCACGAGGCCTGCCCTACCTGTTGAAGTCGTACTGCACGTTCTGCGTCAGGTCTATGTTGAGGAGGATGAAATCATGCACGTGGCACCTAGAGAAGGGGGCCTTCAGGCTCTGGGACGTCAGCTTGCTGCTCCACTTCTGTATGCCCAGGATTGCGTAGTGGACAATCTTTGGTGTGGCTTCAATGTGCTGCAAGACACTCTTTAAGGATACGTTCTTACTGGAAATTCCTGCTTCCATGGGCTGGCTAGGAAATACAAAGTTCGTTGATATAAGAAGTCGCTAGAGACTGCGGAAGAAAGAACCATTTATGAAGGGCCAACCCTACTGTATACTAGCTACACTGTAGAAGATACGAGATGCTTTTCTTTAAGTTAGCCTGGAATGAAAAAGAATGTTTACTTAAGCCTCGCCTTTGTGGGGTGGGGCTTATCCTAGTTGGAGAAAGAAAGTTCATATTTCAAATGAATATTGAAGACGTAGTAGAGGTTAGAAACACGGAAGCGTATTTCCCAGTTCTGGCAGTTCTGTATAATAAGAATAGTTGAAAGCATCACTGGTTTCAAATCAAAATATGTGAGCTGGCAGGGACCTAAAGATCACCCAGCACAGTGTTTCAGTGGGGCTGTTGAATTTGGGGGACTTTCTGGTGTAGGATGCTTCAATGTTTAGCATTCCCTGCTACTCAGGAACCCCCAGCCCACCCTGCATCAGTACTGTGACAGCCTAGGAAGGCAGTGCAGCAGGAGAACACTGGTCTGAGTCCAGCCATAATCTCACAAGTGGTAGAACTGAGACAGATGTAGAATGACGTTCCATGTCCACCCAGATAGCTGGGAAGCAAAACTGGGGCTAAAAACCAGGTCTCCTAAGTCAGATGCTAGCCATCTTTTAAAGAAATCATAGTGCCACAACAGACTTACGGCTGGCCAATGCTACGATGCAGAAATGGTCCAGGCATTTAAAGGCACATTGAATAGCTAAGTTAAAAAAAACAAAACAAAACAAAACAAAAACCCTACATCCCTACAAAACTCCTGGCTAATCATGTTGCTCTGCGAAGTTGTCCTATCTCCATGGGCACCTGCAGCCACGCTGGGAAGTGTCACTACCTGGTCTGCTCCTGAACACTGTGAATGTTCCACAGGACACACGAGTCATCCATCACCACGATGAAGGGCCAGACACACTGGCGCTTCACTCCCAGCTCCTCCAGGCGGTTCCTCTCCAGCTCCAGGTTGTGATAGGACAGCTCCTTAATGAGGAACCTGGCGGCACCTGGAAGGCAGCACAACAAGCTACACACCCCTCCCTCGGGCTGCGACGGAGCCTCACCCACAGCTCACAGGCTCCAGGGCCCTGCCTGTTCCCATGGCAACCATGCGGTTGGCGCCCAACCAAACATTCTGAACAGTGGTTCTCAAACCAGTGGGAACTGAATCACCGGAAGTTGGTCTGAGATGTGGATTCCCAGAGCCCATCAGCAGAGTCACTTCAGCAGGTGGGTGAAGGGCCAGAACAGAGCGGTCCTCGACAACGCAGCTGATACATGAACGGCATGCCCGTGAGGACTGCGAGAACTTAGTTTCCTTGATGGGACAAAGGTACTGTGTACATCAAGTGCCACTCGCATGTCCTGCACTAGGGAGGGGCCAGGCTGTGATGAAGGGGGAGCCACTCCTGATGTGCCCTGCTGCAGAGACCTTGAGGAAGTTAGCGTCTTCTCTGAAATGCATTCTCGAAACCGGCACCCTTGGCCAGAAGCCAAACGGTATGGCAGCATGAGAGAGAGAGTAGACTGCAGCCACGCTGGCTGCATGTGGACCTGAGGCCACTGTTATCTAGCTGTGTGGCCCCCAACAAGCTAACTCCACCATGCCCTGGCTTCACCTGGAAGGAAGGTATCTCTCAGGGTGGCTGTGTGGTACTTGGGATTGAGCCTAGCACCCAAAAGGACTCAGAGATTATTATATGATGATCATTAGGAATTAGCCAAGTTTTATGAATGTGCCCCCCTAAGCCAGCATCCCATATGGGCGCCAGTTTGTGTGTCGGCTGTTCCACTTCGGTCCAGCTCCCTGCTAACGGCCTGGTGGTCAGGCCCCTGCTACACTACTGGGAGACCCAGAAGAAGCTCCTGGCTCCTGCCTTCAGCCTAGCTCAGTGCTGGCAGTTGCAACCATCTGGGGAGTGAACCAGCAGATGGAAGATCTCTGTCTCCTTGTAACTCAATCAATAAATCTTTTTAAAAAATTAAATGAAATGAAGATATAAATAATAAAATGAAGCAGGGGGCAGGCGTTGTGGTGCAGAGGGTTAAGCTGCTGCGTGGGATACCTTCCTCCCATGTTGGGGGGCTGGTTTGGGTCCCAGCTACTTTGCTTCTGATTCAACATCTTGCTATTGCATCTTGGGAGGCAGCAGGCGATGGCTCAAGTACTTAAGTCCCCGCCTCCCACATGGAAGACCCAGATGGAGCTCGTGACTCCTGGCTTCAGCCTGGTTCCCCCAGCTGTTGTGGGGGGTTGGGAGAGTGAAATAGCAGATGAAAGATTGATCAATCTGCCTCTGCCTTTCAAATAAGTAAATCTTTTTGTAAAAAATGAAGCAAACAAAGCTATTAAGTCTATGGGGGATACTCAAAATGAATAGATCAAAGGTAATGGGATTTAGGAAAATCTACCTTCCAAGCACAGGAACATGTTGGCACTCAACACAGTAAGGGCCATGTATGAAAAGTCCTCAGCTAATATGATTGTGGTGGTAAAAAACTGAAAGGTTTCCCTCTAAGGTCAGGAACCATTTAAGGAATTCCACCTCTACTATTTCTATTTAACATAGCATCAGAAGTCCACACCAGAGCAACTAGGAAAGAAAAAATGTATTCAAGTTGGAAAGGAAAAGTAAAATTATCCCTGTTTCCAGACAACATGGGCAGAAAACCCAAAAAATTCCACAAAGTTAGGATAAATGATTTCAGCAAAGCTGCAGATCCAAATCACCAAAAACCAATTGCATTTCTACACACCAACAATGTGCAGTGTAAAACAGTTTCATTTAGGATAGCATAAAAATACTATAAATAAGAAAAAAACCACCAACAAGGCAAAAGAATTACACACAGTGGAAATTACAAAACATTGCTAACAGAAATTAAACACCAGTAAGTGGACAGACATCCTGTGTTCTAAGAATACTGTATTGTTAGCTGTCAGTACTACCCAAGGTGATCAATATATTTAATCCCTATCAAAATCTGACATTTTTGAAGAAATAGAAAAATCCATGCTTAAATTGGTAGAGAACCTCAGGTGACTAAATAGTCAAAACAATCTTGAAAAAGAGTGAGGGGCGGGCATTGTAGTACAGCCATGTGGGACGCCTGCACCGCACATTGTAGTACAGCCGTGTGGGACGCCTGCACCCCACACTGGAGTCCAGGCCACTCCATGCTTCTGACTGAGCTGCTGGCGAAGGTACCAAGTAGTTGAGTTCCCTTCACCCACATAGGAGACCCATACGGAATTCCTGCTTCTGGCTTCAGCATATTCTAACCCTGGCTTTTGTAGGAGTGAGCTAGCATATGGAAGATCAGTCTTTCTTTGCTTCTGCCCCTCTGTCAGTTTGCCTTTTAAATAAGTTTAAGTCTTTTTAAAGTTTTTTTTTTTTAAGTAATACTTTTGATTTCAAAACTTAAAGCAGAGTCCAGCTTTGCTGTGCAGTGGATTGAGCTACCACCTGCAATGCCAGTATCCCATGTGAACACCCATTTGAGCCCTGGCTGCTTCACTTCCATGCAGCTCCTGTCAATGTGCCTGGGAAAGCAGCGGAAGACGACCCACGTGCTTGGGCCTGGGCCCCTGCCACCCATGTTGGAGGCTCAGATGGAGTTCCAGGCTTCTGGCTTCTGGGTAGTTGTACCCATTTGGAGAGTAAACCATCATTCTCTTTTTCCCTTTTTCCCTCTCCCTAACTCTGCCTTTTGAACAAAATAAAAATAAACCTTAAAAAAAAAAAAACTTACACAAAGGTTTTTATAATCAAAGAAGTAGAATGGTAGCATAAAGATAGTCATGTAGAGGCCAGAAGTAAACCCTCACATACAACTAAAAACCAAATGATCTTGTAAAAGATGCCAGTGACATTCAGTGGGGAAGGATGGTCTCTTGAACAAACGGTGTTGAGAAAACATTCAGAAGAATCAAGTCAGACCCTTGCCTTATGTCATGTATAAGAAGTAAATCAAAATGAACCAAAGGCCTAAAAGTAAAGCTAGAGCTAGAAGCTATCTAGAAGACAACTTAGAGGAAAACTTCATGACACTGAATTTGGCAATCATCTCCTATGTGATATACCAAAAACAGACAATAAAAGGAAAAACAAAGTGAACTTCATCAAAATAAAACAAACAAACAAACAAAAAAACTTGTGCATCAAAGGACTTCCAACAGTGAAAAGGCAATCCACGGAATGGGAGAAAATAATTACAAATAATATATCTGATGGACTTAATATCCAGAATATTTGAAGAACTACCATAATTGAGCAACAATAAAATGACCCAAATGAAAAACAGGCAAAGGATTATGAAGATACTTCTCTGAAGAAGATATAACGATGGCCAATAAACACAAAAAGATGCTCAACATTACTCATTATAGGTCACAATGTAAGACCACAGCACGGGTGGGGATGTAGAGAAATTGGAACCCCTGTGCACAACTGGTGGGAATGTAAGACAGTACAGCCACTTTTGAAAAAAGTATGGTACAGTTATTTTCAAAAGAATTATCATGTAGTATAGGAATTCTACTTGGGTATATACTAATAACTGAAGAGTATCTAAGAGATACTTGTATAATCTGTGTTCACAGAAGCAGTAGTCACAACAGCCCAAAGATGGGAGCAGCCAAAGTGTCCACTGGCAGAGTGGGTACGCAAGATGTGGTGTACACAGCCTAAAGAGGGAATTCAGACACATGCTTAACCTTAAGGACTTTAGGATAAATGAATTAAGCTAGTCACAGGACAAATACCGATTTAGGACTCCACTAATCTGAGGTACTTAAGAGAAAGCTGAATGGCGGTTGCCAGGGGCTGGGAGGTGGTGTCGGTGAGTACAGTTTTGCTTTTGAAAGAAGAAAACAGCTCTGGAGGTCTCTTTCACAGCACTATGTAAGGCACTTAACACTACTGAACTATACAGAAATAGTTAAGATGGTAAATTTTATGCTTTAAAAAATATTTATGTATTTGAAAAGCAGAGGCAGAGAGAGAGAGAGAAATTTTCCATCCACTGGTTCACCCCCCAGATGGCCACATCAGCCAGAGCTGGGCCAATCTGAGGCCTGAAGCCAGGAGCTTCTTCCAGGTCTCCCACGATGGTGCAGAGGCCCAAGGACTTGGGCCATCTTCTGCTGCTTTCCCAGGCAGAGAGCTAGATTGGAAGTAGAGCAGCCAGTACTCAAACCAGTGCCCACATTGGATGCTGGCATTGCAGACAGTGGCTTTACCCACTACAACACAGTGCCGGCTCCTAATTTTGTGTTTTTAATCAAAAATTCATTTCAGTTGCTTCCCAAATCATTGCAAAAATTAGCAAAACTGGCACTAAAGAAATTTTGATGTGGTTTAAAACTTTTTCTCCCAATGGTCAGTCAGACACAAAGAAGTAATTTGAAGATCATGTTCACATAGAATAAAAGACTGCAGTTAGTTTGGGGATAAATGGTTCTGGGGAGGATAAAGAACCAGAAGTAGACAACAGCCTTGATTCACGTGACATAAGTTACAAACATGGAAACAAAAATTGCATTCAAAACAATAAAGCAGTTTCTGACAATATTTTAATTCCATATTTAGGTTATTAAACTTTAAGGACTAAAAAGGGATAGAAAGGAGAATAAGAGGGGCCAGCGCTGTGGCATAGTGGGTAAAGCCACATCCCAGTGCTGGCATCCCATATGGGCACCGGTTTGAGTCCTAGCTGCTCCACTTCCCACCCAGCTCCCTGCTAATGTGCCTGGGAAAGCAACAGAAGATGGCCCAGGTGACTTGTCTCCTGCACCCACATGGGAGACCTGGAGCTTCAGCCTGGCCCAGCCCTGGCTGTTGTGGCCATTTGGGGAGTGAACCAGCAGATGGAAGATCTCTGTCTCTCCCTCTTTCTCTAGAACTCTACCTTCAAATAAACAAGTAAATATTAGAAAAGAAGGGGAGATGTTGTGTTTTGATACAGCAGGTAAAGACATCGCTTGCAGCACCAGCATCCCATGCGGGCACCAGTTCAAGTTTTGACTGCTCCACTTCCAATTCAGCTCCCTGCTAATGTGCCTGGGAAAGCAGCAGAAGATGGCCCAAATGCTTGGGTCCCTGTATCCATGTGGGAGACCTGGATGAAGCTCCTAGCTCCCCCCTGGCCCAGCCCTGGCCATTGTGGCCATGTGGGGAGTGAACCAGTAGATGGAAGATCTCTCTCTGTCCCTCTTTCTATCTTTCTGTAACTATGCCTTTCAAATAAAAAATATTTTTTTTTTAAAAAAGGAGTAAGAAATGAAGAAACCTAGAGAAGAGGTAAAGACGGACAGGCACAAGGTGAAGCAGAAGCTACGTGGAAAGGGAGGAGAGAGAGATGGGGGGGATCCTGGAGAGGAGGAGCTTGTAGGATCCAGGACATTACTAGGGGCAGGCAGTTGGCCTAGGGGTTAGGGTGCCTGTGTTCCACATTGGAGTGCTGGGTCTGATCGCTAGCTCTGGCTTCCGACTCCAGCTTCCTTATGCTACAGAGTAAGTTCCCAGCTCCTGGCTCTGGCTCTGGCTCTGGCTGCTCCTGACCTGGCCACTGGGGGCTTGGGGAAGCGAACCAATGGATGGCAGCTTTCTCTGCCTCTCAAAAAAAATATATAAACCTTCTGATCTACTGTGCATTTCAGCTCCAGGTTGGATGTTATTTCTTCCCTTTTAAGTGGGAATTAGCAGCTCTTGATCCTCAGTTCTTTTGAGACTTGGCACTGGGTTGGCCACTGAAGCTGGTGGGAAAACCCATTGAGAACTAGAGTGAGTACAAGAAGTCCCCAGAGAGGGCAGCTCAAAGCCACGGGCTGTGGTTAGCGGCCTCCTAGCTAAGGCAAATGAGGGAGTTCTAGACACCTGCAGCACCTCCCCCACAGCTATGACAGCCACTCAACCACCACGTGCCCTCTTTGAGAAAACAGCCCACTGCTCTTAAACCCCACAGGGAAGAACAGGACAGAGACTTCCAGGCACTTCTACTGCCTCACAGGCAGTCAGGATGCTTCCAGCTCCCCTGTGGGATGGCAATTCAGAACCTGCCATGTGCTCTTTGGATGAGAATCAGTGCAGTCCGTTCTGGAGCAAAGAGAACCACCAACGTCCCTCTCTGTCTGCCAGCTCTCTTGTCACTATTCTGTTCCTGCCCCAGGGTGCTCAGTCCAAAAAAAAGACCTTTGGTTAGGAGGGCAGGACACCTTCCAGAGGCAGAACAATCTGCAAATGCCATGCCAGGGCAGGGAGCTCAGTTTCTCTTCTCAGCCCTTGTGCCCAGCCCAGGGGGCCCCTTACCCACGCCTGCATTATTGAACATGCCGGGAAGCACCAGCATGATGTGGTTGGGCCAGTACTTGCGGTACAGCGGCATCTCATATTCTTTGACCACCAGCAGGTGAAGGTGGCTGATGCCCTCCATGGCGTGGAAAAGGTTTAGGAGTCCGTGCTCGTGGCGACCACTGGAAGGTGTGAAAATAGGGCTCTTGACCGCATTCAGATTCTGCCGAAAGGGGAACAAGAGATCAAAAAGGGAAAGCAAAATTCTTAGATGTGAGCAGCTCAGAGAGCCCGATCTAGTGCCAGCTTGGTAACCCCCGTGTCCAGACACCCTCACCCACCTTATCTGAAACCAGGGGCAGCCGCATGCTCTCCAGATGTTTGCCCTGCTTGCTGAAGACAAAATGGCTCTCTTTGGATTTGGGAATGATGAAATAGAGCTGAACCTCTTCTCCCAGCATAGAGGAGGAGAACGTGAATGCATGGAGGGTGGAGTCCGACATCTACATTTGCAAAGAAGAAATGGGAGGGAGGGAACGTAAGCTCAGGGTTGCCAAGTGTCAGGCCGCCCCCCCAGGCTGTTACCAAGACAAGCAAACGAGGACTCAGGCCACCAGACCAGCCGTTATGAGCGCCATCACGTTAAGGGTTAGGAAGGCAGACACCTCACTAGTGAGCAGGCGCATGAGAGCCGAGTATCTTCCCCTACAAAGCCTCTCCGTGGGTGAAGGGCATGGGGCTTGGAACTGTCTCCATTCCTCATCCTCAAAGCCTTACTGTGCCATCTTAGGCAGAGGTCAGCCATACCTGTTGGATGTCCTGTTTTGCACACATTACCAAAGGTTCTCATGTCTCTATGTGGGCCAGGTCAAATGAATAATCAACTGTCTAAAAAAAATATTAGGACTGACATCATTAAAACATCCCCGTGGCTCTATGTTTCCTGGCTACAGCGGCAGCTGAAGAGGTTTGAACAGTCACTTGGCCCAGAACTCTGGGTTCGGGGAAGAGACCATTTGACTCACTGAAGCCAAATATAAATCTAACCTATTTCTAAAGTTGCTGGGAACTAACACATGCTCAGTAACCCGTCTCCATGAGTAATTATATAACAGCTCTTCACAAGCTGTAGATACGGGCAGCATTTGGCCCAACAAAAGGATAAAATCAAGAGTTCTCGTTTACCCCACCACAAAAATGTGGGGATATACTACTTAGCACTAAGATCATGCAGAAACTGAAGGTTTTTAATAAAGTTTTCTAAAAACCTGTGATTTACAGACCAGAGGACTATGGGTCTTCTGTGTTCGGGGAAGCACTGTGAGGCGATTTCAGAGTATCCCACCAAACATGTCCAAGAACATCAAGAAAAGAAGTGGGATAAATAGGTAATTTGGATTAGAAGGGCAGAGTTACTCAGTCCAGTTTTTCAGTGTGTCGCTTCTAGTAGCCATTTGTATTCCAGGATGACGTGAGGGCCAAGGTAAGGACCTGGGCCCCAGGAGCAGAAGCAGGTTCGGGGGAATCCTCGGTGTGCAGAGCCGGGGGAAAGCAACGTGGAACGCAGCCCTCAGAGAGACTCTGGGACTACTACCGTTTGCTGCCTCTCCTATCTTGTGTGCCTAACGATGCCCTGGCCCCAAGCAGCCAGGTACGACAGGGCACCGATTTCACGTTCTATGTCCCTGCCGCTCAGTTCTCACTGCCCAGAACAAACGTCAGCCCGCATGGTCACATCCATCCCCAGCTGCAGTGAGAAGGTGACTAGGTCGGTGTAGATCAGCACACTCGTGAGAACCGCAGCTCCGAGGGCCCGCCCTGTGCATGTCAGATAATCACACCATTTCAGACAGCAACCCAAACAGAGGGGGACCCCATTTAGCAAATACACTACAGTGCCCACTTTTTCAGATAAACGGCTACTTTCCGACCTACACATGACACGTGTAACCCTTACAGTGAAGTAACTCAGTGCTGAAACCAAGCTGCTTCTCTCCCTGCAACCCCAAGAAGCTGTGTTTCATTGAACCATCGCTCATGCATTTCCCCCGCGCCTCAGTGGCTCCTGCTAAGTCAGCGATCCTTTACCCATTGCCTGAAACTAGGGCTTTTGTTTTTCATCTCACGTGCACACCCCACCTACAGACATCTCAAATCCCTATTGGGTAACCGGGTCTGCACCTGTGAGGCAGCGGCGAAGTCCATGTACTGGTGGCACTGCTCACAGTGGTGAAAGGTGTTGTAGGCTGCGTACTTGGTCAGCATCATGGACACAGTCTCTCGTTTCCTGGGCTCCTCAACCTTGGCTTCTTTGATTACTTCTGCATATAAAAGGGCAAAAATCCATCCCATGATTAATGGGAAAAGCCCCATGCCTGGGAAGTAAAGTTCCCCCACTCCCTCTTTTCCAAGGATTATATAATTTACGCCCAAAGAAGGGAAGTATGAAAATTGAAAGATGATATCCACATGTGGGAGTGAAAACGAGGAGATTTAGGCTCCTCTGTGCCATGGCTCCCCCACCCTGCATCCCGTCCACCCTTGAGAGGCTGTGAGCTGGGCTCGGCTTGCGCTGACCTCGTTTGACCCCCGCCAGCTTCTCGGTGTACACCAGGCTCATCAAGCTGTACTTGGGATCATGCACACTGACGTCAAAGGACATCTTACTGAAGCTCTCGAGGTCGGGCCAGGGCTCTCCCTCCGCCTGGCCGGCTCCGCTGCTTTCGCTGTGATCTAGGACAAGAGGGACGTGCATAGAGCGGGCAGGTCGCCCTCCCTCCCTCGCACTCCCTGGGAGAAGGGCTTCTGGAAGCAAAGCCCCTGCTGGGTGGAGAAAGGCATTTCTGAAAAGTGAGCTCCCCACTCCCAGGGCAGGAGGGGCCGGGGCTGCTCCTTCAGACTGCTCTGGGAGGCACGTTGTTCCTCCATTCCCGCTGACCCGGATCAGACCCCCACCCACCCCACATTTCCTTTAAAGCTTGTTTAACTTTGGACAATCTGAATCCTTAAGGAGCTTTTAGCTGTAGGAGTTTCAAATAATGGACACCAAAGAGATTCTGGGATGCACTGAGCAAGATTCCTGGTGCCTGCCGCACAGTGGAGTCACCTGGGAGGCTTGTAACCCCCACACCCAGGTCACAGCCCAGAGCAGTTAATTCAGAACCTCGCTGCCTACCCAGGAGTCAGCTGTGTTACTAAGAGCTCCTCAAGGTGTTCCAGTAAGCAGTCAGGGTCCACAGCCAGGAGTCACGGCCCTGCCTCTTACTGCTTCACACTTTGCAGCAGCGGCCCCGTCAGTGTGCCAGGTTTCTGAGCATTAGATACGGCATTCAAGGGGTCTTCAGCAAGTTCATGGAAAATGCACATCATGAAAAAGCTAGGCATGGATTTCAAGATTTGCAACAATTCCATTTACTCCACAGTTTGAAGTCCTCTCATATTTAAAGTGCCAAGACAACGGCAGGCACAGAGAGGGGGGTCCAATAAATGGTGTTTATGATAAAACTTGATCAAAAAGTAACAAGACAAGTTTCAATGGGAGAAAGGAGGAAACACATTTTAAAGAGCTTGAAGGCTGGACATACAGCTATCATCTTTTAAACACAAACAGAACTGTTTATATCACTGAGATGAAGCTTGCATTTTGTTTAATGTTCCAGGCGTATGCTGGTGTTTCTGAAAGGTGTCACTGCACCTGCCGGAGCACTGTGTGAACCTGCTCTAAGATGGGGGAGGAGGAGGAAACCAAGCCAGCAGCTACAAAGGCCAGCTTCTGTGCAATGGGCTGCCAGAGATTCACATCTCAGCCACACAGAGGAAGATCCAAGGTCCCTGTAGCATGATCTGAAGATAAAATAAAAAGCTTCGCTCTCCTGTGGTGCCAAGGAGCCTGGCGGGAAAGCTGGCAGGAATGACAGGGCCGGGTTAGCCCTGGCTTTGCCTCTGTGGTCCGAGCCCCCTTCCAGGGTGGTTGGGGATGTTTTGTGGCCAGCCTGGCAGGGCTCTGGTGGTGGCTCTGGGGATCTGGTAGCAGCCCAGCTGGGGGCGCAAGCAGGCCTGGGTGGGAAGTTGAGGCTGAGTGTGTGCGTGCACGCATGTGTCTACAATCATGGACGTGAACTGGCTGAGGAACAGAAATGGGGCTGAAGCCATAATAAAGCGATTAGATAAAGTCCGTTTTCCCCATTCTTGCTCTGCTCTGGTCCTTTTGGCTGGTCCCAGAATAGGTCCAACTACATTTAGAAAAACAGGTGAGGTGAGAGCTCCAGGGGAGGCACCGACGAGGGCTTCCCCTATCCCGGACTCATCCTGGAGGGGCCGAGAACCTGTACCCCAGCCGCTCCACTGTCTCCCCACAGTCACATGGTTCCGAGAGGTGGAGCCACAGCTGAGGCCACTCATGCAGAACTGTCTCCGGGGGGAGGGGAGAGGGGAAAGGGCTGAGCGAGCAGGAAAGGACGCTTACTTGTGCTGCAGCCCGTCATCCCACCCCTCTCCCCCTGCCCAGGGGCAGAAGGGGCTTTGTCTGTGGGGCCTGTTCAGTTGCACAGCTCTTCACAGTCGTCCCGTGTGGTTACCACGGGACACAGGCTTTGGCTCACGGGCAAGGTGTTGGTATCCAGAGTGCAAACATGCCTTCAGGCAGCTGAACAATACAGGTCTAATTTTACAGGGGTTTAACCATGGAGGCAACTAATCTACCTCCCAGGCCTTTATAAAATGCCTCTGCCTGGCATCTTGCTGCGCATCGTGGGGCGAGGGAGGCCAAGGGGACACTCCCCTGCCCCTGACCTCAGGGAGCTAAAAGCGGCCACCTGGGACTCTTTCCTGGTACTCCCGCCGGGCACACGCTCCTCAGCCTACACTGACTCTGCAGCTTAGGAACTGTCGGGTCCAGAAGGCAAAGCAGACGCCCAGGACGCCTGCTTCTGTTCCCTCTCGGGCACCCCGCGGCCAGGACTCACCACGGTTGATCTCCTCCTCATCGTACACATCCACCTCCAGGAGTCGGATGAGCATGCGGAAGAGGATCCTAAGGAACTGTAAATAGGAGCCAGTCTTTCCCACCTGACGGAAATACATTTCATCAGGGACGGGAGGAGGAGGGGAAGAGAGGGGAGGAAAAGAGAAAAGACGTTTCACACCTGGGCTCTGCCTCTGCCTCTGCGAGGCACCCACCCCGCCCCGAGAGACCCGCTGGCTTCTCTGCTAGGGCAGCCTGGCCTGGCCCTACCTGGGGGGGCCCGGTCAGCAGCAGCCGGCGGGGATGGACGGTGCGGGTGCCCGAGGCCGGGTCGGGCTGGTTGCTGTAGTCGGCGTGGTGCTGCCGGGCTGAGGTCCACTGCCTGTAGTAGAGCGACTGCTCCTCGCTGCTCATGTCCTTGTGCAGGAGCGGCCGCAGGGAGCTCACCCAGGTCACGTCGGCGTGCGGCAGCAGGGATGAGGAGGACGGCAGCTTCCCGCCCTTCTGGGAGCCCAGCAGGCTGTAGGCCGCTTTGGATAAGATCACGATGGGGGGCAGGGCTGCGTGCAGGCCCCTGTAGCCTCTGGCAGGCTGTCCTGGCCATGAGAGGGTCCTGGGTCCCGAGGAGGAGGACGAAGGCTTGGAGGTGGTGCTGCTCGCCATCGGGGGGCCCAGGGAGTCACACTCCTGCTTCAGACTCTCCCCGGCTCCAGCTGTGCTGCCAGAGACCCCTTCGTCCAGCCCCACGCTGGTGGCTGGGCTCTGGAAGCTGGGGGTCAGAGGCTGCTTCTGGGACTTGTCGGCCGTGCTCGAAGAGCTCACCCCGTTCTCCATGATGGAACCTGAAAGAGGACCGACAGAACTCACCCCTGCCTGCCTGTTACTGATGCCACGGTGCCTCTGGGAAGCAGACCAAGGCCAGAAAACCAGCTGGATCCTGGCTGGGCTGGGCTTCCCTTTGCCTCACGCTCTGTGCCGCTCCATCCTGCTTCTCTGGCCCTTGTTAGAGGCTTTGGCCAAGGGGAGACACCAGGTGGAAACTGGTCCCTTCTTCCCTGGCCTCCTCCCCGCAGGCTCACCCCGGTAGCTGCCGTTCTATACTGTGGCTGCAGCTCGGGTCCCACAGGCTTCTCTGGGTCCCCTCGCTTCTTCAGGCCCTGGGATGGTGGGGCCTCTGGGGTGAATTAGACCCCAGTTTACCCGGCCTTCTAGATCTTGTCCACATCTTTGTAAAGGGTCCCTAGCCAACCCGACTCCTTCCACACGTTGACCAAGGGAGGCTCCACGTTCAAGTTCTGCTCCAGCAGCAGCTGCTGCCTTCTGAGGGCTGCAAGCCTCCCACTCTGGCTGTGGATGAGCTCCCAGGGCTGTAGCCACTTACGTGGACTCCCCAACCAGGGCAAGGCTGTCTCCACACAAAGGCATCGATGATGCCAGCCAAGTGAGCTGTTGCTCTTGCCCTGTGTTTCTGTACAGTTTGCTGATTATGTTCAAACATGCCCTCTCTCCCATCAGATCAGCCACTGTTGGGTTTGAGGACAAATCAAAAGCCCATCACATTTAGGCTGAAGGCCCTCTCTGAGCTCATATTGGTGCTGCCCAGGCATGTGGGTTAGCTCCCAATCTTGGGAGATCCTAAATGAATAGCCACAGATGGGGTTATTCAAACCATATTACTCCACTTGCTTGTCTGACTCGTGTGCCTGTCTTGTAGGAGAATTTGCCTTTCCATGATGGCCCTGAGCGCTCTTGGGCAGCAAGGTTTCTCGTCACCCTGGGCTGGGGTCCATTTGCTCAGTGCTGTGAGCATGGCTTGTGGGGATGGAAACTACCTAGCAAAAGGCAAACCACTACCTTTGAGTTCATCAGAGCAAGGCCAAGAACCGATGAGCCTTGGCGAGCAGCTCTACAAGTACAAGGCAAGGAGGGAGTGTGGCCCAAGGACCACCAGAAGGAAAACCACCCAGGCCCTCCTCATCTCTCCCTCCCAGCCACTGGTATCCCGAAGCTCCTAGGTATCCCAAGCTCCCCGCGTGCTCGTTACCCGTGACAATCCTCTGAACCTGTGCACTTTATTTTAAACTGCTCTCAGGGAGGAAACCCAGGGAGCCTGCAGTGGGGCGCCTGAGGGAGGTAGATGAAATCCTGGGCTGAGGGTAAGTGGCCACATGCCCAGGGTAGACGGTTCTCAGACTCCTCCAGGTCGAGGGTGACTACAGATAGACAGACAACCCAACAGATAACCAGCTGCCGCTTCATTTCCCACACGAAGCCTCCAACAGCTGTTGACACAAGGAACAGGAAGACTGGTGCTTCTTTTGGACACAAAATGTGTGTGTGTGGGTGGGTGGGTGCGTGTGCAGAGTGACAGCATGATCTCAGTGACAGTTCAAAACAAGCCAAGAGGGAAGGAGGGACACATGGCTCACTGCTAATAATGGTGGTTACCTCTGGTGGTGGGGCAGCTTTTCATTTTTAATCTCTTCTCTGTACTTTGCTATATTCTCCCAGTTTTCTGCATTAAGCTTTATTATTTTCATAATCAGAAAAAAAATGGAAGTAGTGTTGCATTTGCTTTACTACAGCTTAGTAGAAGAAAACCTATGCCAGGCCCAGCCATGAAATGCACAGTAATGCTTTAAGAGGCGGCCAGTGGGCTGCGTGGAGGTTGCTCCAGTGGCCCAGAGTGCACTTCTGTGTGCATTGATGTACTTAGGAAATGCCGCCATTCAAGCAAACATTATATGCCACAAGCCAAGCCACTTAATTCCAACTTATAGCTTCAGGATCTGGAAAAAAAAGCTTTTGTGCACATATGAGGGGAACGGGTCTTCAACAAGTTCATGGAAAATGTGTTATGGAAAAACTATTTTATGCATGGATTTCAAAAGTGTGTTGCACTCACTTATCTTTTAATTCTATTTTCCCCTGAACCATGAGAAGACTGAAGGTAGAAGAGAAGGGGCAATGGTACCGGCTGGGGTGGACAGAGTGTATGTCTTCTACTTAGGCTATTACCAAGCTCTTGAAGGTCTACTCAGAAGTTGTTTGCGGCTGTTCTGCACTCAGGTTTTCCAAGCAGCTGAGGTCTGGAAAGGCTGCTGAAGGTTTTATGGGGGATTGGTGGGTGTCCCCGCCTTCCATACTCCTAGTACCTGCAGCCCAGCCCCTGGAGGACACAAGTACCAACCTGAGGTTCCAGTGACAGCACTGCTGTTGCTCTGGGGCCGCTCCAGGTCGATGAGCAGCTCGTCGGCATCGTTCTCGCTGACAGCGGCTCGCTCCTGCTCCTTCCCACTGAGGTCCAAGGCAGCCGTGGGCCCCCGGATCACTTCCTTTGGGACGTAGCAGCACGCCAGACCCACTTCTTGCTCCAAGGCCGTGCGAGTTAAATAGCTTGAATCAATTAAGCGGAGATCACAGTACTTCAAAGACCTGTGCAGAAGTAACCACGCTGTTGGTGAGTCCATGTGGCTGGGCAGGCAGTGGTGTTTCTTTTGTTTGTTTTAAGATTTATTTACTTTTTAAAGATCTATTTATTTATTTGAAAGCCAGAGAGGCAGAGGAAGAGAGAGAGGTCTTCCACCTGCTGGTTCACTCCCCAGATGGCGGACACAGCCGGTGCTCGGCTGATCCGAAGTCAGGAGCCAGGAGATTCTTCCAGGTCTCCCATGCAGGCACAGGGGCATCAGGACTTGGGCCATCTTCCACTGCTTTCCCAGACCACAGCAGAGCTGGTTCGAAAGTGGAGCTGCCCCTGCCTCAGAATCAACCCTTGGGACATTCGGATCTGACTAAAAGGTCCATGAGAGTCTCGCAGGCATGGAAAGCCATGACACGGTGGCAAAAAACAATCTAAATGAAGGATCCTGGTGAACAACACCCCAGAAGGATCAGGCCATCAAGGAGAGAGGTGCCTTTCTCTGAAGGGAGGAAGGAACCTCCACTGTGATATGGCCTTGACTAAACAAATTCAGAGTTGGTGAACTCAAGGGGCTTCCATAGCCTAGACAGCTCATAGCAAGAGTCTCGGGTGATTGCTGACATCATAAATAAGAGTGCCAATTGTTAAATCAACAACGGGAGTCACTGGGTTCATGCTCCCCATGCAGGATCTCTGTCCTTAATATGTTTAACTATGAAACTCAAAAACAACACTACTAGTCGAACAATACCCTATACCTGGTTCGGTTGTGTGAGTGCAACCTGTTGAAATCCCTGCTTAGTATATACTAAGTTGATCTTCAGTATATGAAGGTAATTGAAAATGAAACGTAATGAAGGGCGGGATGGGAGAGGGAGTGGGTGAGAGGAGGGCCACGAAAGGGAGGGAGGTTGGGGGGGAAGCCACAACAATACAAAAGATGCATTTTATATTCTACTTAAAACTATTGGTTGAACTCTGTAATACACAATTACTCTTAGGTGTTTAATTAATGCTATAACTAGTACTCATACAGTATTGTACACTTTGTGTTTCTGTGTGGGAGCAAAATGTGGAAATCTTTACTTAACATACGCTAAATTGATCTGTATATAAAGATAATTGAAAATTAATTGTGATGTGAAGGGGAGGGGGGGAGGGAGTGGGAGAGGGGGGCGTTGTGGGTGGGAGGGAAGTTACGGGGGAGAGGAAGCTATTGTAATCCATAAGCTGTACTTTGGAAATTTATGCTCATTAAATAAAAAAAAAAGAAAGAAAGAAAGAAAAAAAGAGAGAGAGAAAAAAAAAAGAAAGTGGAGCTGCCAAGTCTTGAACTGGCGCCCATATGGGATGCTACCACTGCAGGCAGTGGCTTTACCCACTATACCACAGCTGCAGCTCTTATTTATTTATTTGAAAGGCAGAGTTCAGAGAAGCAGAGGCAGGGAGAAAAAGAGAGAGAGAGAGAGAGAGAGAGAGAGAGAGAATATTCCACCTATTGGTTCACTCCCCAAATGCCTACAACACCTGACACAATTCAGGCCAAAACCAGGAACTCAATCTGAGTCTCCCATGTGGGCGGTAGGAACTCAACTACTTGAGCCATCACCTGCTGCCTCCAAGGGTGCACATAAGCAGGAAGCTGGAATCAGAAGGGGAGTCAGAACTCAAACCCCAAAACTCTGATATGGGTGTCCAAAGCCATGCCTTAATCATTGTGCCAAATGCTGCCCCAAGGTTTTATTGGTCCAAAAACATGTTTCACATCCAATGCATGTGAGGTATTTTCAAAAGTTCATGGAAAATGCCTATGAAGACAAAACTATGCATGGTTTTTTTAAATTAATTAATAAAAGCTTTATCTTTTAATTACATTTTAAATAAATTTTTGAAATGCTCTCATACAGTAAACATTCAAATAAAGCTTCTATTGTTATTGTTGTTGTTGCTGCTTTTCGATCTGTGGGCCCTCAACCTCTAAGGGAGTCAGGAAAGCAGATTAGCAGAGACCAATAGAATAATAGAAGGGATATAATAAAGAAATTATAAAATAATAGAAAGAAATCCTGCTTTTCCTCTCTTTCTTGCTCGCTGACTACCTTGCTTTGATGCACAAACAGTTCACACATAACCATCTCCCATTCCCAAAATTGCTGCATGTTTTCTGGAAGGCTGAAAGAGTGAATAAGGAGAGGCTATATTTCTTGTATCCTCCTCTCATGACCAAACAAGTGAAGTAATGGTGCGCATCAACCAAGTTTTAATCATCGGTTCAGCTAGGTGACAAAGAAAACTGGAGTTAATCACTCAAGTTGTACCTGGGGAAGGTTTCTCCAAGCGGATCTTTTCCAGTTAATATCACAATACAAGGCAGACCTTCTAAATCTTGATAAGTCCGAGGAATCCACTCTTCTGATTCATTTCCTCTCCAAGTCTGCAGAAAGAGACCCAGATGATAAAATTAAAGCTACTTATTTAGCTTTTAAGAGACACAGTGTGTGCATCCACATACTTCCATTGAGTTTTTGTGAATCTGTATCTATGTACAAGCATATTTTAACTGCCACTAAAAAGCAATTAAAGCTCTTCTATAAAATAGGATCTTTGGTTTTATCTTAATAAAGTAGGAGATCTTGTTATGTATCTCTGTGTTAGCAACACAGACTAAAGAAACACAATGTGAATATCCCACCAGTGATGCAAATGTTACAGAAATCCTGGCTTCTCTACAAGACTCAAGGCACTGACATGCATTTTTTCACATAGTGGACAAACTCTTGGGATTAGTTGATGAAAGACCATTTGCGTTGTGAATAACTCAAAAAAGAATCTCAGAACTCCATCACAAAGAGATATTTTTCACTAATAATGAAATTAGCCACCCCGATGGTATTTTTCCCTGTCTTTTGCTTTATTGATTTTATTCTTAAAATCAATTAACTTGAGATAGAGAGGCAGAGAACTCCCACCCACCAGATCACCCCCAAAACACCCACAGCCAAAGCCAGAAGCCCCATCCAGGTCTCCCCAGTTACTGCTGCCTCCCAGGGTCTGTAGCAGCAAGAAGCTGAAATCAGGGGTTGGACCTGGGCATTGAACCTAGGCACGCCAACATGGGACCACTGGCACCGTAACTGCTAGGCCAAACACCTGTCCCTTATTGACTTTAAAAATCACTGGCGGCCGGCGCCGCGGCTCACTAGGCTAATCCTCCGCCTAGCGGCGCCGGCACACCAGGTTCTAGTCCCATTCGGGGCGCCGGATTCTGTCCCGGTTGCCCCTCTTCCAGGCCAGCTCTCTGCTGTGGCCAGGGAGTGCAGTGGAGGATGGCCCAGGTGCTTGGGCCCTGCACCCCATGGGAGACCAGGAAAAGCACCTGGCTCCTGGCTCCTGCCATCGGATCAGCGCGGTGCGCTGGCCGTGGCGGCCATTGGAGGGTGAACCAACGGCAAAAGGAAGACCTTTCTCTCTGTCTCTCTCTCTCACTGTCCACTCTGCCTGTTAAAAAAAAAAAATCACTGGCAATTATTGGCATGGGGCTTTCAGAGAGTCTTTTGCAAAAGGGGCTAAAAATATAACCAGAAAAAAATATAAGTAGACCTGGAATAAGAAAAATACCTCTTCCTTATCTGGAAAAATAACACAATTTGTGCACGTTTTCAACAACAAAAGTCTATTAGGCATCTTTCTCATACATATAAACACATATATGCACATAGATACATCTTTAATAAATGGAAACATCAATCCTGAAAACATAAATATATCAATGAGGAGATGAATCCTACCAACTTGCAAGATGTTAGAAGATAAAAGGTTGTGGGGGCTGGGGGCTGGCACCATAGTTTAGCGGGTAAAGCCGCTGCCTGCAGTGCCAGCATCCCATGTGGGCACCGATTTGAGACTCGGATGCTCCACTTCTGATCCAGCTCTCTGCTATGGCCTGGAAAAGCAGCAGAAGATGGCCCAAGTCCTTGGGTCCCTGCATCCACAAGGGAGACCCAGAAGAAGCTCCTGGCTCCTGCTTTCAGATGGGCCCAGCTCCAGCCATTGTGGCCATTTGGGGAGTGAACCATCGGATGGAAGATCTCCCTCTCTGCTTCTGCCTCTGCCTTTCAAGTAAATAAATCAATCTTTAAAAAAAGATAAAAGGTTGTGACAGGTTTTTAAATTTTAGAACAGAAAGAAAATAGACCACCTTGTAAGCAAATACAGTGGTTCTACTACTTTTTAAGTAGGTAGCATCTAACTATGCACTGTATTAGCTTCCTAGCAGGAGTTATAAGAAATGAACAGATAGTCTGATAATGCTCTCGGGAATGAGGACTAAAAAGTGAGGTGTTAAGTAAAGAACATTAATTTTATTCAAAAATAGATGGGTGGATCAGGCATTGGCCTAAGTGGTGAAGATCCTGCTTTAGGTGCCTGCACTCACTCCATATTTGAGAGTGCCTGGGTTCCAGTCTGGGCTCTGCTCCTGATTCCAGCTGCCTACTACTGCATTCCCTGGGAAGCAGCAGGTGATGGATCAACTAGTTGGGTCCTTGCCACACACATGGGAGACCTGGATTGACTGGGTTTGGCCCAGTACAGTCCTGGCCACTGTGGGTATTTGGGGAGTGAATCAGCAAATAGGAGTTCTCGCTCTCAATCTTTCTCCATCTCTCAAAAAAATAATAAAAATTTCAAAACTAGATGGGTACTTACTTTGCTTTGCACAAAATGGGATAAAAGAAATCTACCAGGTAAGAGATAATATAATAGGGCAATGATTTGTTTGTGTCTAGGTATGGTTAAATGAAGAAAAATCAGTCTTTAGAAATAAATATACCAAGAGATGGTGCTGTGGTGTTGCGGGTAAAGCCGCTGCCTGCAGTGCCAGCATCCCACATAGGTGCTGGTTCAAGACCTGGCTGCTCCACTTGTAATTCAGCTCTCTGCTATGGCCTGGAAAAGCAGTACAAGATGGCCCAAATGCTTGGGCCCCTGCACCTGCATGGGAGACCCAGAAGAAACTCCTGGCTCCTGGCTTTGGATCGGTCCAGCTCTGGCCATTGTGGCCATCTGGGGAGTGAACCAGCAGATGGAAGACCTCTCTCTCTCTGCCTCTCCTTCTCTGTAACTCTACCTCTCAAGTAAATTAAAAAAACTTAAAAAATATACTCACAATTGCTTAAAATAAATTTCTATAATTTGTAAAACAGGAAGAAAGATAACCAATTTAATTCTTTTACTTGTTTCCCAATCTTTTGTTATGTCTGTTCAGACCAAGGTGAAATCAGTCGTCCAACATAACTGTTTACAAGTTTGAGACTTAGAAAATCAGTCTGTCAATCTGGCATAGTAGAAAGGCATAGAGACCTTTCTCTCTGTCTACCCCCACTTTCTGTCTGTAACTCTACCTCTCAAATAAATAAAATCGTTTTAAAAAAGAGACGTCTTTTTGAATACTAGATTGTCTACAGAAACACAATTTTCAGTATCATTTAATGTTAAAGGGAGCTGAAGCACTACCTGATTTAAAGCAAACAATTCTGAAATAGGAATATTTTACATGGGGCTTCCATATGGGCCTCACGATATCCCTGACACCGAGAATTTCCCTAAATGTGTTTTATCTCCTGGAAGCCATCCATTGGTCATGCTTCTGCTAATAATGTTTGGGTTATAAAGTGGGATTACAAATATTTTACTCCAAGAGGATAATTATTTTCAGATGACTAAATAAATCTCACTTTTACTCTTGACCAATCAGCTAGCCACACCCATTACTTTCAGATGCTTTTCCAGAACACTGCTACTTTTGATGAATGAAGGGTGCAGTTCTTCCATGTACCAAAAATGGCCTCAGGATGACCATACTGCAGGGGTGTTTAAAACCACACAAAGACTGGACAAACACTGAGTTCCAGGATACCATGGGACTCCAGACCAAGAAAATCTAGTGAAAGCTTCACATGCTGACAGATTTAGATTTAAACCTTTTACCATTCCAAAGTACTTGTTAATTATACTTTAACCACAATATCTAATGGGATAATTAGCAGTAAGTACAAAAATTGGATCATATAGCGGGAGAAGCAGCATTTGATTTCACCCAAGACTAGAAATAAAAGGCACACCCATGCCATCCTGAAAATGGTAAAAGAGATTAGTAACTTAGAAATAAGCAGGTGAATCAGAATCTGCCCGCCAACAGGCAGTCTTGCTTAGATGTGAACATCCTAAAATCTCATGTTTTCACTCTCACACAGAGGGTATAGAAAGGATGCACTGATGTAGTTCAGTGGTTTTAAGAACACGGGACTCTTGGGGGCCGGCACTGTGGCGTAGTGGGTAAAGCCGCCGTCTGCAGTGCCGGCATCCCATATGGATGCCAGTTCGAGATCTGGCTGCTCCACTTCCAATCCAGCTCTCTGCTGTGGCCTGGGAAAGCAGTAGAAGATGGCCCAAGTCCTTGGGCCCCTGCATCCATGTGGGAGACCCGGAAGAAGCTCCTGGCTCCTGGCATCAGATCGGCGCAGCTCTGGCCGTTGTGGCCATCTTGGGAGTGAACCAGCAGATGGAAGACCTCTCTCTCTGTCTCTGTCTCTCTCTCTGTCTCTGTCTCTCTCTCTCTCTCTCTCTCTCTCTCTCTCTTTGCCTCTTCTCTCTCTGTGTGACTATGACTTTCAAGAATACGGGACTCTTGTGGATTGGTGGTGCCTCATTCAAACTGAGAAGATATTACTGAGTGTAATGACTTGAGACCCTGTAGTGTATGGCCTGCTCTCAGAACGCTGGTCCTCAACCCTGGCTACACAGACCAATCTGCTCTCAAAGCCCTGCAGGTGATTCTGATGCACTAGCAGCTAGGTGAAGAACCTCAGGCCTCCAGCATTATGGCACAGTGGGTTAAGCCACCATCTATGGTGTTGGCATCCCAGATGGGAGCCTGTTCGAGTCCTGGCTGCTCCACTTCCGATACAGCCCCCTGCTAATGTGCCTGGGAAAGCAGCGGAAGATGGCTCAAGTGATTGAGTCCCTGCACCCATGTGGGAGACTCAGAAGAACTCCTGGCTCTAGCCTGGCCTAGCTCCAGCCGTTTTGGCCATTTGGGGAGTGAACCAGAGGATGGAATCTCTGTCTCTCCCCTCTCTTTGTGTAACCCTGACTTTCAAATAAATAAATAAATAAATAAAAATTTAAAAAGATTTATCTATTTGAAAGTCAGAGTTACACACACACAGAGAAGGAGAGGCAGAGAGAGAGAGAGAGAATCTTCCATCCGCTGGTTCACTCCCCAATTAGCTGCAACAGCCGAGATGTGTCCATCTGAAACCAGGAGCCAGGAGCTTCTTCTGGGTCTCCCACATGGATGCAGGGGCCCAAGGACTTGGGCCATCTTCCAGTGCTTTCCCAGGCCACAGCAGAGAGTCGGATTGGAAGTGGAGCAGCTGGATCTCGAACTGGCATCCATATGGGAGGCCAGCACTGCAGGTGGTGGCTTTACTCACTATACCACAGCGTCAGCCCCTAAATAAATAAATCTTTAAAAACAAAAACAAAAACAAAAGAACCTCAGGCCTAGACTGCTTTTCAAACGGTGAACCACAGGAACCAGTTATTTAGGAATTACTGATTTATACACTTAATTACTGACCCTTCTGAACAAATGACCTAGGACTCCACAAGCAGCTGTGCTCAATCAGCGTCTATGAAGCCTCAGAGAAGATCCTGCAGCCTCCCGTCCATTTGGATAGACCTCTGGGCAACAAGTGCGTGAGATTTCACAGAGCCCAGCTGACTGTCAGCCTTCATCAACAGCATTTTCAAACTGTGTCAAGTCCTATGTCTCTCAAAGCTTGGTACTGTGAGGAATCTTGTTACTCTGAGGAATTTTGCTGTAATGTGATCCCACGCTGCAATGTAAATCCACAGTGAGAGAGGGTGTCTTCAAAAGTTTGTGGAAAATGCACATCATGAAAAAAACTATGGTTGAATTTCAAATATTTTATGCACCAAAATAAACTTATCTTTTGATTTCATTTTCCACAAACTGGATTACCCTCGTATAGCTATCAATGAAATAAGAATGTTATAGCTTTTACTAAATGGGTGTTTCTATTTTTAGATAATTATATTTGTTCCCATAGTTTACTAAGCTAATACAAGACATTTTGTTTGCCTTTTGGATTATTTAATTTAGGTTAGCTAAGAGAATACGGTGAAAATGTTCTCACTTGGGAAATGATTTATAAGCACTAAATACCCCCGAACTGAGAGCTCACACAGCCCATTTGACAGAGGGGAAGCTGCAGTCCAGCATGAATATGCAAATTCCCTAAGACTACATGCTTTGTTTTTTTAAAACTTGGGCTGAACTACATTTTTCTACACCCAATTTAGCTTAGGATTTAGTGTGCAGGGGGACAGGAACCATGTTGGTCTAAGGAGACACACAATACTTAGCTCAATTGCAAACCCATTTGAATGCGGGTGTTTGATTAAGTGCTTTCTAATGGCTAAGACATATTGGATTATAAAATTTCCCAGGAGAAATCCGAGCCAGCCATAAGGTAGGGAGTTGGGTTAGTTGATTTGGGATTCTATTTCCCCCAGCCCATTCCTGAAAGAAGGGGTAGGATACAGGCAGCTAGTTCCTGGCCGTGCAGAGGGAGCTCTGAAAGGCTTGGTCATGCAGTAAATTCCTCTGGAGGACACCTGGCTAGGTCTCAGTCCAGCCAAAGCCTTGGGGCTGAGGGTCAAAGCGAGTACAAAGAAACAAGTTGTTGAGGAATCCACATGCAAGAGGGCTAGGAATAGCTCTGTGTGCCCACCGAAGATGCAAACAGAATACTTTACCGACTCTAGCCATGAGCTGACAGATGGGCTAGATGGGCAGAAAAGAATCAGTGAGTTGAGGATACATAAAAGGGCACCCCACAGAGGTCCGAGAGAACAACTTACCTTTTCTTCTGAGAAAACAGGTGGCCGTGGGCTAGATGCATCTTGAACAAGGTCAAAAAATATGGGATCAAATTGGTCATCTCATTTTTTGCACCTGCAGTTGGAGAGCATGGAAGACCAACTGCACGCACATGCTAACAAGGGGGCTGGACAGAATCTGCATAAATTGGTTCCAATTAAGAAAGCGAATATGTCCCTTAGCTTAGCCTTAACACTCGCAGGGAGGTCAAATTCACACAAGTGCCAAAATCCATTAAAGTTGGGCATCTGAGCCACCTAGGATTCCCGGAACACAGAAACAAAGGGTATTTTGAAGGAAAAACATCTGTCCATTGCTAACCTTTAATCGTGTCACAAAGTGAGTTGCAACACTGAGTTCAGAGGCCGGGTTCCCAAGGATGATCTCGAAACGGTACTGCAGACCCAGCTTGTCGCGCACCTCCTGCAGCCGCTCCTTGGCTAACATTGCCAGCTGCACTGAGGGCACCCTGATAATGAGCATGTGTCCCCGCCCACTTTTGTTTTTGCCTGGGGAGCTGATGAGGTCGTCCATGATGCTGAGTGTTTCTGGTGTGCTGTGGTCTCGGAGTGACGCCATGGTGGTAAGAGCCATCAGAGCTTCGGAGTATTGCTGGATGAGAAGGTAGCAGCGGACAACCATGCTGTGCAGCCTGGGGTACCTTGAACAGAACACAAGGAACCAGCACTCAGGCAGCAGAACCGGCTGGGAGCGGTGCTGCCTGCGCAGTAAAATGCAGATGCAGCATGGTGGGGAAGGGGTTAATTGGTCAGTGTTGGGGCCTTGGTCTTGGGACCCTGCATCTCTAGGAGATGTGAGCATCCAAAGCATATGAATCATAACCTGTGGGGGGAGTACAGTAAATGAAGAAGATTTAGGGAAAGTTGCAACCTGAGCTTCTCAAAGTGGGGTCTAAGGGCACCCAGCAGCCACACCTGGAGCTCGTTAGGAATGCCAGACCTGCAGCCCTCCAAGAATCCCAGCTGCTGGCGTGCACATTAAATTCTGTGATGCACTGGTCTGGTTAGGTTGTTGACAGAGTCCTAATGGGTAAGTCTTGGATCCTGACCTTTTGCTGGTGGCATAGCGTTAGAAGGGCAGCATTATTAGCTTTTTTCTCTGATACTTAAGATCACACAGTGTAGGAAACTGATACGTTAATATCTGTGGAGTATCAGACATAAAAGGGGCAATCATTATTACTAATTTGAGGTGATCCCTGTTGCCTTCCTGTAAGACCTACCTTGGTGCTGGAAAAACCGAGAGCTGACTGGAGAAATGGCACCCCCTAGTGGTGTGGCCCCTTATCACTTGAGATCCAGCTCAGTCAAGGGTGCCTGCAAATCTGAACCCGGGAGCAACACCCCTTGACATCATTCTCCCCTTGCCTGGACTACGGCTGAGAGGATCATTTTGTTCAAACTGCCAATTTCTACAATTACAGAAAACGTAGAAAATAAATTTCTCATGTAGGCACTGCTCCTCAGAAAGCCAGGCCTGATGACAAAATGAGTCTGCACGAGCCCAGAAGACTCCTGCAGCATGAAGAGGAGCTGGCTAGTCAAGACAGCAGGCACTGGAAGGGCAGGGCACTGTCCCAAACTTGGCCAAGGCTCTCATGGAATCTGACAAAATGAGGCTGGATCTGTGCACTTTCTCTCTGGTTGCCAGCTGGTAGCACAGGCAGCTGCCTAGCAGCTGGGGACTTTCACTATTGTTAGACTTGACCATTCTGTTTCCAATACAAGTGGTTCAACAGTCTTGCACAGAGAAACCCAGGGCCATTAGGGTCAGCGAATGAATAATATGGTTCTGAAGTATTTCAGCGCTGGAAAGAACCACAGATGCCCAGTATTCTAATCATTCTGCCTATTCATAGGAGAAAGAGTTATGGAGTGGAGAGAAATTGAGCTACTTGTCCCAAATCACACAAAGCTGGGTCTGGACTGTATGCAGGCGTTTAACAACATCTTCACACATGCAAGGATTTAGTGAGTTAGGGAAAAGTAAAGAAATCCTCAGTTGAATCTGTTCTGGGCCAGTCCCTTCTGGTGTTCAATAAATCACAGCTATTGTTTGCCTGGGGTGACTGATGGGAGAAAGAATAGATGATGATCAACATTTAATGTTTCTTTCTGGGCCATGCAGAAAACCAATGTTAGAATACATGGAAACTATGATATACAGGCATTGAGATTTCACACTTTGACAGAATCATGAGTTTAAAAGTGAACAGATTACAAAAGTATTAGAACTTGGTGGAACCCTCCTTTAAAATATAAGTTATGAAACTCAGAATTACCGGGAGGAGAGAGAAGTTCCCAGCTGGTAGATGGAATGAGTGGGTGCGGGGGAGACTCGTGGACTCATGGGATGATTTTGTACTAGGAAAGGATTAATGCCACAGTGTCAGTTAAGACTTCTCAAACCCAGCAGCTGTGAAAATATCAAAGCCTGCTCTGAGCTTGCTCCCATTCCTGACGCAGCACTGTTACTTACTGGATAGGACACAGCCACCTGTCTTCATTTTCATTAAAGCAGAAGTATAGGGAAGGCTGTTAAGCAGATGGCTTGCAATCAAGTGCAGCCAGTTTTAAGAACTAGAGATACTAAAAATGAAGAGTCTGCCCCCATAAAATGGAGTCCAGTTGCCTTATTCATCAGAATACTGTGGCCAGGAGCAGGAAGGTGGGCCTCTACTAGGTTACGTAAATCTAATGCTTTTATCTAACTGTGTGTCTAAGATTCAAGGTCAGAGAAGGAAAAACTTATTCAGAGTTTGACCTGGAACTCAGCAACAGAAAGACAGATTTACGGATCCTTAATCCCCGGATGGCTCAGAGGAGCCCTAAGAACTGAATGCATTTAAATGACCTGATTGTTCCTTAATTTTCTCAAACGTACTCCAGATTTCTCATGGGTCATCTGAGCGCCCCTGTCATCTGTCGGTGGTGGTGGTGGGGGGGAGTCTGAAGTGTAGGACCAGAGCTCATTTGCTTCTCTAAGCAAACCCCCCTCTGCCTTTCTAATCTGCGGGCGGTGGCAGTGAAGCTTGACTGGGAGATGACTCAGGGCGTGAAAAGTGGCGCTGTGTCCCAATCTGGGTGACCGCTTTCCTCTCGGGTGATCACAGAAGACCACAGGAGCAGGCCATCTTAGGAAAGGCTATTTTTATTTGGCCTTTGCACAGCGTTTGCAGGCGGACTCCCTGTGACACTCGCACAAAAGGCGTTCAGCTATTTTAGATTTGCAAGTACAGCTAAAGAAAAGAGTGGGAATGCTGACTTACCGCTCCAAGAGTGTGTTCACCATTTTTTCAAAAGTCTCATCACATCTCAGCAGCGGGCTTGTGATGCCCCACTGCAGAGACTTGCTGTACTCATTCAGGCCGAAGTACAGCTTCTCCTCGCAGCCTACCTCCTCCTGATTTAAAACAAAGCAAAAGCCCAATGAGAACCAGATACAGTGTGCTAGCTTTTAGGGAGCGGGGAGCCTTGTAAGAGGTTATTTTCTGGAAGACAAGAAACAGAACCAAAACTTAGGTGTTGTTTTGCAACCTGATACCAGCCTTGCAACCATCTCTGAGGCACTACTGAAATTTCTTTTCGGATCAACTTAGTAATTACTGGAATGTTGATACACTTCTCTCAGACAGAGTAACAGCACAGATACTTTGTTTACTTTCTCTTTGTTCAGATTCTCAAGGTCAGAGAGCTGCAACTCCCATTCTTTCTCTGCTGGAAGCAGCTCTCTATGCTGATAAAAGCTATCCACGGGACTCTCCAGAAATTCCTGGTACAGAAAACTCAACTTTTCTGACATCACTTAATGATGGTAACTCATGAAAGCTTATCCTCTTACAAACAAGATTTATCCTAAAAAATGGACTATGCACCTTTCTGCCTTTTTACACAGAATCCACCTATTTTACCCACCTTCCCCCTCCGCCCCATCTGGATGACTCAGGCGTCACTATGGAAGTGAGTGACTATTCTGGGAGATGACACAGGATGCCCTCCCAGGATCTTGTATGTGTGACAAGTTGCTTGTCCTTAAACTATGAAGCCCCAGAATATTCAATAACCCTTTTGAGTTCATGGATCTGTTTTTTATTTATAGTTTTCTTGCCTCTCGTCTACATTAATTTTTTATAGTCCTGTGTTTTTGCTGCCTGCATGATGCCTGCATTTTTAGTTTCACTTTTATTTTTTGTTTATTAGGTATGGACATTTTTCTTTAAACAGTCTCCAACTCATTTTATAGAAAGGAAATAAGGCAGCTTTAAAAAGTACAAGATAAAAATAAATGAGGCAATAAGAGGGAGAAAAAGGGTAAGAAAAGGGTAAGAAAAATAAGATTGGAGTGGGATAAAGATGGTACTCCCAAATCATTTAGGAAATTTCTGCACATTTTGTTAGAAGTGGGCTAGAAATTTGGTTCTGAGGTTTTTAATAACCCATACATAGGGAGATGCAATTGTGTGATTTTTAAAGGCTATAAGGTAAAAATAAAAACATTATTTAAGTAGCAGCTTTGAATTTTTTGAGGCCAGTTAGTTTGTTAGAAAAGGATATTGAGAGTAAACAGACTTTATATGAGGACTAAAATATGAGAGGGTAGTTTTAAAAGTCTGTGGAAAAATGGAATTAAAGTTTATTTTGGCACAAAAGTTTTTTTAAATCCATGCAATTTTTTTTCTTATTACACATTTTCCATTTAATTTTTGGAAGACCTCTTGTATGCATGGATTTTAATTTTTTTTGTGTACTAGAAATAATTATCTTTCTGTTCCATTTTCCATGAGCTTTTTGAAATATCCACATATATATATATATATATACATATATATTTGAAAGGCAGAAGCACAGAGAGAGAGAGAGACAGTGATATAGAGAAGTCTTCCGTGCACTGGTTCACTCTCCAAATGGGCACAATGGCCAGAGCTGGGCCAATCTGAAGCCAGGGATCAGGAGCTTCCTCCAGGTCTCCTATGAGACTGCAGGGGCCCAAGGACTTGGGCCATCTTCCACTGCTTTCCCAGGCCACAGCAGAGAGCTGGATTGGAAGTGGAGCAGCCAGGACGCAAACTGGTGCCCATATGACTGGTCCCCTTTGTATGCCCTTCTACATTCTGTAGACTTGGAACATAGACTGAATGACATCTAGTTAGAAAATTTAAAGGCCTTGCTTATTTCTTTCTGGGTTTTGCTGTTATGGAAAGTCATTTCAACAAAAGAAAAACAAAGGTAATTCTTCTACATTCCCCTCTGTGTCCAGACTGCAGGCACACAGTCATCTGCGAGAGCTCTACTTATGCTTTGCGTGTGCTTGGTCTTCACATTGCCTTCTCCTCAATGATCCTTGTTCCTCTGGGAAGACATCAGCTCCTACCCTGAGCCTGCTCCTTTTCCTGATGCAGCACTCTAAACTGCTGGATAAGATGCACCCACCTGCCCTCATTTTTATTTCTCATTCTTAGCAAAGTAATAGGCAGGTTGCTGAATAGATGCCTGATGAGCACCTGGAGCTAGTAAGGGTTTTGAGAACTAGAGATACTAAAATTAGAATTTGAAATGCATAGCTTCCCCAATATGCTAGGTTTGTATTAAACTGTAATTGTTGTAATATTACAAAAGTTGCGGCGCCGCGGCTCACTAGGCTAACCCTTCACCTTGCGGTGCCGGCACACCAGGTTCTAGTCCCAGTAGGGGCACCGGAGTCTGTCCCGGTTGCCCCTCTTCCAGGCCAGCTCTCTGCTGTGGCCCGGGAGTGCAGTGGAGGATGGCCCAGGTGCTTGGGCCCTGCACCCCATGGGAGACCAGGAGAAGTACCTGGCTCCTGCCATCGGATCAGCGTGGTGCGCTGGCCGCAGTGCGCCGCCGGAGGGGCCATTGGAGGGTGAACCAACGGCAAAGGAAGACCTTTCTCTCTGTTTCTCTCTCTCACTGTCCACTCTGCCTGTCAAAAAAAAAAAAAAGTTGCGATAGAAGTAAATGGGGCCATCCTTTAAAGCAGGGATTGAGAACTCTAAATAATTTCACTGTAAAGATATATTCCAAGTACCATAAGCCATGACAGACTACATCACTATTTCTTAGGGGAAAATGTCTCTTTTCATTAACAAAACAACTCCCCCTCCAAAGTCCTGCCCGCTCATGGGCCTCAACCTGCGGCTCTCCCTGGCCTTTCATTACCATCTCTGCCTTTCCTCCACCTGCAGCCAAGCTCTGTTCCCTCAACACTGTTCCTGGAAGGTCACCAAGGACTCCTGAGGCCAAATCCAGCGGCCTTGACTTGTCAGCCCTTGGCCTCCCTGCCCCCTCGGCAATCTTCCATTCGCTTCTTCCTTGATTTTATTCACACCAGCTGCTTCAGCAATCATTGCTTTTGAAAAACTATTCCAAGTCTACATACGAAAGCTCCAATCCACATTTGGACCAGTGGGCTGGCCTCAGCCTTAACTCAAAGTCAGTCTCATCTGCCCTCCACCTATCAGTCCTCCTCCTGATTTCTTTCCAACTAAAATCTTCACCTCCAAAACCTTTCCCACTCTTCTCTCTTCCCACATTAAAAAAATTCTAGAAAATTTACCATGCTCTCCACTTATTCATTGCAAAGACCAGTACTCTGACTCACAGATTTGTTCACTCTCACCTGAATTATCACAAAAGCAGTGACTGACCTACTTCTAATCACTGTGCGTTAGCCTCAGCAGTTAATGAACACAATGCAGCCTAACGCTGAACACATGTATACCTGATGACCCAGCAGAAGCACAGACATGCGTTTACACAAATGTGCTAGAATGTTACAGCAACACCATCTGAAGTAAATGAAAGAGGTTAGGTAAGTGAATTCTGGTGGAGTCACACAATGTAAAATACTCATGAATGCTTTCATGGCTCATGAACAATACAGACAAATGTCAACAACAATGCTCAGCAAAGAAACTAGACACGAAGGGATGCATACTACATAATTGCATTAATATACAGGATTCATAACTGGGCAAAACAAAGACGGTCTGGAAGGCCACAGCAGTGTTGCCCCCTTTAGTGGGAGTGCCTGGAAGGGACACAGAACTTCTGCACTAGTGGTGTTTCTTGATATGGGTGCTGGTCCCGTGGTGTGTTCTGTTTGTGAAAAGCCATCAAGCTAGACAAAAGAGGGACAGGCATTGGCTTAGCAGTTGAGATGCCTTGTTCCATAATGGAGTGCTGGCTTCAGGGAGCCTCTGGCTCCCTGCAAATGTGTACCCTGGGAGGCAGTGATGGTGGCTCCTGGAGGGGAATCTCTGCCACCCGTGTGGGAAGACTGGATTGAGTTCCTTGCTTCTGGCTTCAGCCTGGCCCAGATCCAGTGGTGGTGGGTGTTTGGAGATTGAACTAGTGGATGGGAGCTCTCTCTTTGTCTCTCAAATAAATAAACAGAAGCTATTTCTGAACAACTGTAAAAAAAAACAAGATAAATACATATATTTTAATAAAGGCAGAATAGTAACTATAAAGTTTGTCAGTTTGGCACCCAAAGCCTCCATGTGTATGTTTCCAGCATTCTTTTGCACCTTACAAACTGCTCCTGCCCAACCATGTTGTCTGCTGTCAGGAGTGCCTGCCCCTGTTTCTCTCTGCCCAGTCTTTATTCTTTCAAGGGCATCTTCAATGCCCTCTTCTCCATGAAGCTTTTCCTGGTCTCAAATGGATGTGACTTGTTCCTCATTCAACCCTCGGAGTAGTTTGATTTTTTGAAATTGTCTTTTTCCACTTTGGTTAATAGTGGCTTAGATATATACATTTCTTTCTCTTCTAACTATCAGTACTTTGTGTATTCTTTGAAAGACCCAACACAAGTCCACCAGTGCTTGGCCACGTTTTGTTGAATGGTTTTGCTTTTTTTGTATTATTCCTGCTGTAGGACCTTTGTTTCAGAATAATTAAAGAGGGCAAATTGCGGGATACACAGCAGACTCATAGAATGGCGGATGTCCTAAACAGCACTCTGGCCTCAGAATCAGCCCTTAAGGCATTCGGATCCGGCTGAAAAGCCCATGAGAGTATTTCAGGCATGGAATGCCAAGACACTCTGGCAATAAACAAACAAACAAACAAACAAAAACACCTAAATGAAAGATCTCTGTGAGTGAGATCCCAGTGGAAAGAACAGGCCATCAAAGAAGGAGGTACCTTTCTCTGAAGGGAGGAGAGAACTTCCACTTTGTCTATGACCTTGTCTAAATATGATCAGAGTTGGTGAACTCAAAAGGCTTCCATAGCCTTGGCAACTCGTGACAAGAGCCTAGGGTGATTACTGACGCCATAAACAAGAGTATCAATTTGTTAAGTCAACAACAGGAGTCACTGCACACTTACTCTTCATGTAGGATCTCTCTCCTTAATGTGCTGTATATTGTGATTTAATGCTATAGCTAGTACTCAAACAGTATTTTTCACTTTGTGTTTCTATGTGGGTGCAAACTGTTGAAATCTTTACTTAATATGTACTAAATTGATTTTCTGTATATAAAGAGAATTGAAAATGAATCTTGATGTGAATGGAAGAGGAGAGGGAGCGGGAAAGGGGCGGGTTGCAGGTGGGAGGGAAGTTATGGGGGGAAAAGCCATTGTAATCCATAAGCTGTACTTTGGAAATTTATATTCATTAAATAAAAGTTAAAAAAAAAAAGAGGGCAAATTGTGGGCCGGTGTTGTGGCATAGTGGGCTGGGCCTCTTCCTGCTGCGCCAGCATCCCATATTGGTACTGTTTTGTGTCCCAGCTGCTCCTTTTCTGACCCAGCTCTCTACTTATAGCCTGGGAAAGCAATGGAAGATGGCCCAAGTACTTGGGTCCCTGAACCCACGTGGGAGACGTGGAAGAAGATCCTGGCTCCCAGCTCCTGGCTCCTGGTTTCAGATTGGCCCAGCTCCAGCGGTTAGCCATTTGGGGAGTGAACCAGTGGATGGAAGACCTCTCTCTCTCTCTGTCTATCCCTCTCTCTCTAACACTACCTCTCAAATAAATAAATAAAATCTTTAAAAAAAAGAGAGAGAGAGGGAGAATTGTGAGGAGCTTCTCCCACTAAGGATAAAGTTGCTGTAAACTAGATTCAGTGTTTCTTCCTTTTCTCTATGTGCACATCAGTTTCACAGAGATTTTTTAAGCCCTTAATTACAGAAGAATATTATAGTTCCCTGCCCCTAAGTTATTTTGAATAAGTCCCCAGGACCATATCTTTAATCCATAAGGATATAACTAGATATCCCAAAGATAAGAACATTTTTAAAAACGCAACAATACAATTATTAAACCAAAAAGTGAACCATAATCATAGGAATGATTTTTGGAACAAATTGTTTTAAGCCTTTTTCTCTGACTTTTCTCTCTGACTTTATGTCAGGAGAAGGTAACAGGCAGAAGCCACTAATCCTTCTATCTATCCTTGGGCGATTCCTTCTTGAAAAGACAGCACAAACAATGTAGATTAGGAGAGTTTTCTCTCCCATCCCCAATGTATTGAAACAAAATGTAACAGAACCACCTGTTGGACTAAAAACATAATTTCCTCTTCTACTCATTCTACTGGCAAAGGATTGTCACACTGCTGTCATCTCACCCCGACTTGACCACCTGGTGGACTCATGGAGCTGGCAGAGATGCCAGGAGAGCAGAAGCTCAAGGCAAGCTCACTGTGATAGTGAACAGAGCTAGCTCTCCTCTCGGAGGGAGTGTTGAAGGCAACATGATTTAAGAACCCGAGTTTGCTGTTGGCACAGAATAAACCAGTGGCCGAAGATCAGAGCTCAACATGAGGGAAGAGTTACTTAACTATTTCACAACAGAATGAAATGTACCATGTTGATAAATAAATGTGATTCTCATATAAAATATTTCTGGGGTGTGGGTGTGTGTTTAAGATTTATTCATTCATTTGAAAGGCAGTGTAGTGGGGTCAGGGCTATGGTACAGCAAGTGAAGCTACCATCTTCAGGGCCGGCATCCCATATGGGTGCCGGTTTGAGTCCCAGCTGCTCCACTTCTGATCCAGCTCCTTGCTAATATGCCTGGGGAAGCAGCAGAAGATGACCCAATTGTTTGTACCCCTGCATGTGGATAAAGCTCCTGGCTTCAGCCTAGCCCAGCCCTGACTGTTGTGGCAATTTGGGGAATGAACCAGCAGATAGAAGATCTCTCTCTCTCTCTCTCTCTCCCTCTCTTTCTCTCTGTCACCCTTCCTTTCAAATAAATGAATACATCTTTTAACAAATAAATAAAAATGAAAGGCAGTGTGGCAGTGAGAGACAGAGAGAGAGAGAATGGTCACAACAGCAAGGTCTGGGCCAGGCTGAAGCCAAGAGCCATGAGTTCCATTCTGGTTTCCCAATGGGTGGCAACAGCCCAAGTACTTGGGTCATCTGCTGTCTTCCCAAGTGCATTAGCAGGATGCTATATGGGAAGCACAACAGCCAGAACTTGAACCAGTACTTGCACATGGTACACTGGCATTACAAAAGGCAGCTTAACCTGCTGCAACACAATGCCAACCTCTCTGGTGTTTTCTAAACATATATATATATTTTTTGACAGGCAGAGTTAGACAGTGAGAGAGAGAGACAGAGAGAAAGGTCTTCCTTCCCTTGGTTCACCCCCAAAATGGCCGCTACGGCTGGCGTGCTGCTGCCGGTGCACTGTGCCGATCTGAAGCCAGGAGCCAGGTGCTTCCTCCTGGTCTCCCATGCAGGTGTAGGGCCCAAGCACTTGGGCCATCCTCCACTGCTTTCCCGGGCCACAGCAGAGAGCTGGACTGGAAGAGGAGCAACCGGGACAGAATCTGGCGCCCTGACCAGGACTAGAACCTGGGGTGCCAGCGCCATAGGCGGAGGATTAGCCTAGTGAGCTGCGGTGCCAGCCCATATTTGGTTTTAAGTACCAAGTGTGTTCAATATTTTAAAGCAAAGAATCCACTGTGTAATGACTAGTATTTATTATTTTTATGAAACTAATTGTTTTAAAAATAGCATATTTAGCATATAGTTTATAGGTCATGGAAAATATCCTTCAAGAGTTAGAAATTTAAGTAAAAAAGAAGACCTGGATATACACAGTTTTGAGATTGTTATTCTCAATCTATTCAATGCTACTACTGAGTTTCTAAATGCAACAGTGCCATCTGTTTTAATCAGAAGACTATGAGAACTGACTAAATGGAAAAATACAGTTGCTATGTCAGTATGAGAGCAATGAAGAGTGATACAGAACAGCTAGATTAAAACATGACAAAGAGGCTAAGAAGACAATATAACTTCCAGGTCTCAGAATGAAATTAATCATTTAAGGACACAACAATAATTCAGGATATCAATGGTGGTTCAGATAATTTCACATTTTTAATAGACTATATAGGATGGCTAATTTTGTACCTGTATCAAAAAGCACCACTTGATCAAACTTATGCAGAACCCTACTCACTAGTTTTTAGTCATGTAATAGTTGTGATCACATGGAACCTTTACAAGAGGAAGTATTACATTAGTGAGATTTTTGCTCTTGCGCTATGTTTTACAGAGCCATGGCCGTATTTTGTGGCAAGTGTCTGTCCCCTGGGGAAGTGAGAACATGACCACATATCACAGACTTACCACAGTGTCCAGCTGTATCCAGTGAACCTCGTTGCTAGAGCTGATTCGGGACTGTTGGGTCTGTAGTGTATATGGGAAGGAGCTAACTTGGAGCACCAGGAGGTTGAAAGCTTCCAGGACTTCTCTGCAGTTTATTACTCTATCAGCCAATCCGTGACTGGGCTCACCGTGGGACAGAGAGCCTGAAATGACACTGGAAACATTGAAAGTCACATTAATACTTCCTCATTTCACCAGTTATGCAGACACCAACATGGAGATAATGTTCTAGTTCTTATTTTTCTAGCTCTTTTGAACTCAGAGCAGGAGTAGAAACATGCAAAATTTGATTTGGAAGAGGAAAAATTGACATTCCTTCCTATCCCTTTTCAGACACTTTTCAGTGATATATTTTTTTTCTCTTCAGTTTGTGCCTGATCTGCTTTAAAGTGTAAGCTCAGTTATTTTGGTCAAGGATAGCAACAATTAAGGGTGAGAAGATCACTTTACTTTGAAAGCTCATGTGAACAAGGGAGCTGCTCCATCAAAACATGAGGCTTATACCCCTAAAATGGTTGTGTTCTCAGAGTGGCCCCAAGCAGCAGGGTCTCCCCACTCTGCTAAAACTATGCTGCTTTCTCTCTTGGGCTGGTGAACTGTGAGGAGAGCGGAGGAGGAACTCTTACGACGCCACTTCCCATGACCGAGACCTTCATCTCTCAATGCTTTTCAGTTCTGATCAACTTGCATGTACCAGGTTGTCCTGCAGCTTCAAAACCACATTTTTTTTTTAATCAAAGAAGTAATCTCAACTTGGGGAATTAAATACAGAGAGATCCAATGTTTATTCTCAGAAACATTACCCCAAATTTTCTTTAAGTTCATTTATTTTTATTTACTTGAAAGGCAGAGTAGGGGCCGGCACTATGGCAGAGTGGGTAACGCTGCCTCCTGCAGTGTAGGCATCCCATACGGGTGCTGGTTCAAGTTCTGGCTGCTCTACTTCTTATCCAGCTCCCTGCTAGTGTGCCTGGGAAAGCAGCAGATGAGGGCCCAAGTCCTTGGGCCCCTGCACCCACATGGGAGACCTAGGAAAAGTTCCTGGCCATCTGGGGAGTGAATCTTTCTTTCTGTAACTGCCTTTCAAATAAATAAATCTTAAAAAAAAAAAGGCAAAGTAACAGAGGAAGAGAGGGAGGGAGGAAGAAGGAAAGAAGAACAGATCTTCCAAATGCCAGCAATAACTAGGGCTAGGCCATGCTGAAGCCAGGAACTCCATCTGGCTTGCTCATGTAGGTGGCAGGGACTCAACCACTTGAGCCATCAACTGCTGCCTCCCAGGATCATATTAGCAGGAAGCTGGAGCCGAAGTGGAGGAGCCAGGACTCAAACAAGGAACTCTGATATGTGATATGGGATTCCCAAGTGGCACCTTAACCTGCTATACCATGATACCTGGCCAGAATTACCCCAGACTTTCAAAGACAAGGTATATAAGGGCACTCCAAAAAGTTCATGGAAGAATAGGATTAAATATGATGACTTTTGTATGAAAACTCCTAAAATCCATGCATATTTTTTCATAATATGCATTTTCCATATGTTAAAGTATCCTCACATAAAGTCAGTGAGTCATCGCTGCTCATTGAGCACTAGCAATAACTGAATAGATGTGGCCAAGATTTCCTTTCCTTCCCTCTTTCTTCCTGCTCTCCTTCCCTCTTCTAATCTAACAAGCTTTGCAAAACTCTTTTATGAATATACCTAACTTGTCGAATATCAAACACATTCTAGCTTCTCAACAAGAGCTTTTGTAATTCTGACATTTCTAACAGAGGCCAAAAAATTTCCAACTTCAGTGTCTTCTGGAGAAAAGAAAATCTATAAATGCTTGAGGATGCCTGAAATTTCCCACTCCTTACACGGTGAAGACCGACGTTGATGTGTAATAGCATCTGTACAACCCCCCACCGCGGCCCCACCATCCTCCACTTTTAAACTACTTGCCTTTTTAGTCCATGGGAACAAAGATGCCCCACACCAGATAATGACTATAATTTGATCTGGGAGCAAATGTAGCTCCATCATTCCAGACATACTGTTCTTTCATTAATAAGTCCATCCAAGAAATACGATATTCTCTTGTTTAAACTGGGAATCCAGAGAAGGTTTCAGATCTGTGCTCAGATCATTAAACTGGCATCTCTGCTGCCTTCAAAGGGAGAGCGAAGAGAGACGAGACTGTGAGCCAGAAGGAGTGATGAAGGAAGCAGGGGAGAACCGGGAGGAGGTGGCAGAGGGAGGCTGTCTCCTCGGGTGCTCCTTCACCTCCACCTCCTGATTGCTGCCTTTACTCCAGAGCACTGTGGAGCTCAGCTTCTAAGTTCACCCACAGTACAGGCAAAACAGTGAGAAGGAAACGAGGAAAGAGTAGCAAGTTGCCAGTAAGCAGACAGCGAACATTTGTGTCCCTGGGCTTTCAAACTGCCACCTTTACACTATGTCATTATGCAACATTTACTGCTAGAGAAGAAAGATTGTATTTGCTCACTCTGAAGCAATCACCTCGTTAGTTCCACATGGGAGTTGTCATGGACCAGCACAAACAGGGTGTAGGGGTTCTGTTTCACCTTCCTCATAAAGACTTCAAACTTGCTTTGGATCTCACTGTCGAGACGCACAACGTATTTCTCTGCTCTCTGATGAGCTGTCCCATTGTCCTCCAGGCCCAAGTCTACAAGGACACCTGCAAGAAGAGTTGATTGTTAAGCACACATGCACACACAGCCCAGATAAACATGTTCAGTATAATGGATACTGGGTTTTAATCATATATAGAGACTTATACAGGTTTTTTTTTTCTTTTTCATATTCCTCAGCACAAATTTAAAGCAGAAATGCCAGATTCCCTTTTCTAGAGAGCACCCCACTCCACCTCCTACACCTAATGCAAATAACAAGGAATTTAAAAAGTGTTTATTTATTTGAAAGGCAGAGTTACAGAGAGAGGAAGAGACACAGAGATCTTCCAGCAGATGATTCACTCCCTAGATGGCCGCAATGGCCGAGGCTATGCCAGGCTGACGCTGGTAGCCAGGAGATTCATCCAGATCTCCCACATGGGTGCAGGGGTCTAAGCACTTGGGCCATCCTCTACTGCCTTCCCAGGGATATTAGCAGAGAGCTGGATAGGAAGTGCAGCAGCCGGACTCAAACTGGCATCCATGTGAGATGGTGGCGTCCCAGGTGGCAGATTAACCCCCTTTGCGCCAATGCTGGCCCAGCAAGGAATGTTCCGATATATGAAGGCAGTAGAATGTACAATTAAATTCTACTTATGCATAAGGAGCTGCTGGGAATAACTACTACATGTCACCTGGGGAGCAAAATTGGGGGTTATAGCTCTTGATGAAATTAATATAATTGCATAATCCTTTTTACCTCCAATTTAGCAACAAAATATGTATGAGAAAGGAAAATACAATGTAAGTTCCAAAGATAGCATTTTTAATTTAAAAATTTATTTGAAATGTAGAGCCCCAGATAGAGATAGAGGTAGAATAAAGAGATGTTCCATTTATTGGTTCATGCCACAAAAGTCAGGCCAGGCTGAAGCCAAGATCCAAAAACAGTCTGTGCCTCCCACGTGGGAGGCAGGGACCCACATACTTGCACCAGCACCTACTGCCTCCCAGGGTATGCACTGGGAAGATGCAGGAGTCAGGAGCAGAGCTGAGACTCAACCCAGGAACTCTGATATGAGATGTGAACTTCTGAAGCAGTGCCTTTTTTTCTTTTCTTTTCTTTTTTTTTTAATTTTAAAGATTTACTTATTTACTTGAGAGACAGAGCTGTAGACAGAGAAAGGGAGAGACGGAGAGGAACGTCTTCCACCTGCTGGTTCACTCCATAATGGCCGGAGCTGGGCCAATCCAAAGCCAGGAGCCAGGAGCTTCTTCCAGGTCTCCCACATGGGTGCAGGGGCCCAAGCACCTGGACCACCTTTTGCTGCTTCCCCAGGCCATAAACTGGGAGCTGCTGGGACACGAACTGGCGCCCATATGCAATGCCAGTGCTGCAGGTGGAGGCTTAGCCTTCCACAACACAGCAGTGGCACCTGAAGCAATGTCTTAACTGCTATGCCAAACACCTGCCCCAATTAAAAGGTTTTTGAGGTAGTGTTTTATTCAATTTTATACAGTAACAGTTTTTCACACTATCTAGAATGTTAAAGCCCTCTGTGAATGTCAGATTTATGTACCAAATTTATAAATGAATTGAATTACCCATGATTACCATATTTTCAAAATGTTAGAAACTCAAACTGACTACTGTATCATTATATCTGCCTATAATTAAGTTATTTCTACATATAGACATCTAAAATAGCTCTAGGCAGATGAAATTGTCAGAATAATTAACTAAAACACCAAATCCTTCTTTAAAATAAAAATCATTTTATGAATTATGCTGACTTAATTTATTTAGCTGACCTAATATAAAACCAGCTCAGTTAACAACTACACGCAATTAGCATATATACTATGCTAGATCCTGTATACTACGTCTCTAAATGGTGTAAAAGGAAAAATGTGTTCCACACTAAAAAGTGATGATAACAAAAAGATGTTCGGGGTGGGTATTGTGGTGCAGATTAAGCTGCTGCTTGGGACACCTGCATCCCATAGCAGAGTGCAGGTTTGAGTGCCAGTTTCTCCATTTCTGCTTCAGCTTTCTGCTGCTAATACATCTTTGGAGGCGGCAGTTAATGGCTCAAGCGCTTGGATCCCTGCCACTCCTGTAGGAGATTCAGATGGAGGTCCAGGTTCCTGGCTCCAGCTTGGTCAAACCCGAGCTGTTGTGGACATCTGAGGAATGAACAAGCAGATGGAAGATTCTCTCTCTCTCTCTCTCTCTGCCTTTCAAGTAGAACAAAATAAACATTTAAAAACAAAAGATAGACTGTGAGTTTTTAAAATTTATTTGACAGGTAGAGTTATAGACAGTGAGAGAGAGAGAAAAGAGAGAGAAAGGTCTTCCTTCTGTTGGTTCACTCCCCAAATGGCCACTATGGCCAGAGCTGCACTGATCCAAAGCCAGGAGCCAGGTGCTTCTTCTCGGTCTCCCATGCGGGTGCAGGGGCCCAAGCACTTGGGCCTTCTGCCACTGCCCTCCCGGGCCACAGCAGAGAGCTGGACTGGAAGAGGAGCAGCTGGGATTAGAACCCGGCACCCATATGGGATGCTGGCGCCGCAGGTGGGGGATTAACCAAGTGAGCCATGGTGCCATTCCCAGTGATTTTGTTTTTAAACATTTTTCATTAGGAGTCCTTACTTAGAGATTATCTTCAACTTCCACCCAAAATTTAGTAGAAAAATTGTGTTGTATTTCCAAAATCAGTCAATCAAACACTAATCTGGCAGGTAAATTTAGATTTTCTTTTTTTGAAAGTGGATTGCCTGTTAAACTAATTCAACATTTGATAACTACTGACTGTGTGTCTGGTATGATGTCAGGCACTGTACTAGTCCTGGAGATTCAGAGAGGAACAGGATGAAGATATTAATCTCTGGATGAGGAAAGGGGGTAATTCTGACAGGTGTCACGATGGAAGGCTAGGTACTATGGGACACAGTAGGTCATCGGAAGCAGAGAGAGAGGACCTACTTCATCTCTCAGACCTGTAAAATGAGGAGAGCAGTAACAGTTGGGAATTGGTCCTTAGGAAACAAACAGTGTGAGTTAAGGAATCTCAATATGAAAAGATCAGAACTAATTCACAAAGAGGAAAAAATGTACAGATTGTACCTTATTTCAGAACAGATGAAATAAAGATCAACTGTAAGCCTTCGATAGGCCAATTTCATTCATGTCCTCCTTGGGAAAACAAAGTTCCAGTTGTCCTAAGGTTGCTCTCTTAGATGCAACATGGTGTGTCAGCCACCACTGCGTGCCAGCTGGCCCTGCTGGTGGCACTGGATAGAGAGGTGCAGTCAGACCTCCCTGATGGTGGGTTTCTACATGGGTGTTGTTAGGAGTCACCCTTCCTTTACCTTTTACTCTAGACTTGCTTTCATTTTTGTGTTTTGCTTTTTTCCTGGTTATGAAAATGAAAGACACTCATCTTGGAAACCGAATGGAAAGGATAGAGATTTTTTATTTTAAAGAAAAAATTTATCCATAATTCCTTAATTCAGAATAAGGCTCTGCTAACATTTGTGTTTTCCTTTCTTGTTTTTCCTATGCATATCGTGCTATTTGGCTCCTATTTTACAAATGTATATTGTGATTTTTCTCACATATTACTGTAAATTAAGAAGCCAAACCATTACTGTTTGTTAATATTACATATGTGTAGCAAACACATAAAACACCAATCAATAAGTAAATTAAACTAGTAAGAATCTAGTTATGTTGGGGCCAGTACTGTGGTGTAGTGGGTAAAGCTGCCACCTGCAGGGCTGGTGTCTCATATGGGTGCTGGTTCAAGTCCTGGCTGCTCCTCTTCTGATCCAGCTCTCTGCTATGGCCTGGGAAAGCAGTAGAATATGGCCCATGTCCTTGGGCCCCTGCACTCACATGGGCAACTTAGAAGAAGCTCCTGGGTCCTAGCTTTGGATTGGTTCAGCTACGGCATTTGTGGCCATTTGGGGAGTGAACCAACAGATGGAAGACCTCTCTCTCTCTCTGCCTCTGCCTCTCTCTCTCTCTCTCTTTTTTTTTTTTTTTGACAGGCAGAGTGGACAGTGAGAGAGAGACAGAGAGAAAGGTCTTCCTTTTGCTGTTGGTTCACCCTCCAATGGCCGCTGCGGCCGGCGCACCACACTGATCCGGTGGCAGGAGCCAGGAGCCAGGTGCTTTTCCTGGTCTCCCATGGGGTGCAGGGCCCAAGCACCTGGGCCATCCTCCACTGCACTCCCTGGCCACAGCAGAGAGCTGGCCTGGAAGAGGGGCAACCGGGACAGAATCCGGTGCCCCGACCGGGACTAGAACCCGGTGTGCCGGCGCCGCAAGGCGGAGGATTAGCCTAGTGAGCCGCGGCGCCGGCTCTCTAACTCTTTCAAATAAATAAATTTTTAAAAAATAATACAGTTAAGGTTAATGGATTACAAATCAATATACAAAAACATAGTTGCATTCCTGTAAACCATCAGCAAACAGATGTGAAGTGCACTTTAAAAACATTTATGATAGCATCAAAATATTAAATATTTAGGAATAAATATTATAAAAAGTATAAGAGATCTTTTTAGAGAAAAAGATGAAACTATTCATAGGATCTGTATAGCACTGCATCATAAAATAAAAGCAAAATTAAATTTTCCTCAAAGTTAGCCAGAGAGTCTAATAAATATTTTAATGTTGCTTAACTTGAAAATTTATTTTATAAAAGTATATGGCAGAGAAAAGAACAAAGAAGATTGAAGAGGATCCTGAAGTCAGAAAGGCAGGAGAGAGCTGCACACCAGAGAGTAAGAATTAGAGCTGGGGTAAGGAGACAGAATGCTCTGGGCACAGGAGAGGAAACCCAGAGACAGCCCCCTCACATGTGGAAACCTGATTATAAGTCCTAAAGCTTGCCTTGCAGATCAGTGGCAAAAAAGATGAGCTCTTCAATAAATAGTGCTAAAGAACTGTTATCCGTATGAAAAAATAGATATTGTATCTCACTTGATCTACTTTACAAAAAGCAATTTCCAATGGATTAAATTTATTGTAAAAAACCTCACAGGGAATTCCTTGAAG